TCTAGAGTATCCTTATTGTCTTCCACAACATAGTGAAACATGCAAAAGAAGAGAGTAGAAGACACACTAATGTGTCAAGAAGGAAGTGTTGCTGTGCTTAGTTTCTTCACAGCTATAGGGAGACAGAGCCAATTGCAGCCACAATTATTCAAATTTGCCCTATAAGATTAGAATATTAAAAAAGAGAATGGCCCTTCACTAGATTTCAGAGACATGAACACTGGAATAGTCAAGAAGGCTTGGGAAAGATTGGAAAGAACATGGAGTCAGTCACAGTGGAGAACTTAGAGCAATGAGGATGATGAGAGAAGAAAGACACTAGAGAGGAGAAGATGAGAGGACAGAGACCCTGGATATGAGGAGAGGAGAAGACAGAGACCCTAGAGAGGAGGAGAGGAGAGGACAGAGACCCTAGAGAGGAGGAGAGGAGAGGACAGAGACCTTAGAGAGGAGGAGATGAGAGAACAGAGACCCTAGAGAGGAGGAGATGAGAGAACAGAGACCCTAGAGAGGAGGAGATGAGAGGATAGAGACCCTAGAGAGGAGGAGATGAGAGGACAGAGACCCTGGATATGAGGAGAGGAGAGGACAGAGACCCTAGAGAGGGGGAGATGAGAGGACAGAGAACTTAGAGAGGAGAGTAGAGGACAGAGACCCTAGAGAGAAGGAGAGGAGAGGGCAGAGACCCTGGAGTGGTGTTGGAGAGTCTAAGAGACTAGGAAAATGTGTAATGTATATGTACCCAACAGAAAATCCAACAAAATTTTTATTCTCAGTATCTCTCTGTGGAGTTAGACTTGCTGTTTTTTTGGAAGGATAAAAACATGTGGTTGAAAAGAAAACATTCCCATAAAATCAGCACTCAAACTTGTATTTCCACAGGGCTGTGTGTTGTTCAGCACAGGTGAGCCTGACATGCCTGCACCCTCAATTTAGGCTGCTGAGTAGGTAAATTCATGCAGTGCCAATAAAGGCAGGAAGCTCTTAAGGATTTGAGTCTCAATTTCTTTCCACCGCCCTAGCAACACAGATGATTTCAAGGTCAGCTGAGAGTCTTGGGCAAAGTTCAGCTGGATTGGTTTGTGCCTTTCTGATTTGGATTGACTGTCCCTGATTGGGGTTACAGCCAGCCTGAAAAAAAAAAAAACCCACACAACTAAATAGAAACAATAAGAGAACAAAATAACAACACCATGTTCCGATAATGACCTGTTTAGTCCTGATAAAGCTGGCGAGATAAGAGAAAATCGTATTTAAGTAATAAGAAGGGTTTGTTCACTTTGGTTGATTCTCTGACCTTGGATGCTTTAGATGCAGAGATAAGACCCCCAGCTCAGAGCTTAGGGTTATGCTTCACCACACTCTGCGGGGAGACAGGCAGCTAAGAACGCAAGGAGAGTGCATTCCACAATGATACATGTCGAATCGCTGGCCAGGCTTTTAAATGCCATAGATAGTTTATGCAAAGTCTCACACTGTTCTAAGTCATAACACAGTTTACCGGCTGCTCTGCCTAAGACTAGTCCCAGTTGTTTTGAGAAAAAATAAGCTGAAAAATGTCTACTTGTGTGCTAAAGTAGGGATGTTTGATTCCCAGCATCTGTGCCTAATTCTGGACAATGGCAGAGGTGATTCTTGGCACCTTCATACTTTCTAAAAGCACCCTCTGATATTTAAGAAATCAGTGTTGCATTCACAAGCTCACTGATTCTTAGAGCAGAGGAGAAGTTTGGCAGTTGATGGGCTTAATACTTTTTGATATTTCTAAAACAATAAGGAAATTTTCTTAAATAAATTATTATAAGATATCAGAAGACTAAAGGTTCTCTCAGTTGATACTAAGTTGACATCTTGGCCAATACCAACAAGGTGTTGATCTCAGGGAGACATCGTTGTGTCTATGACCAATTCAACATTCAATTGCCCAAGATCATCTGAGACCCAAAGAGGCAGAACCAATTTCTATTCCTTCCTCTGGTTTTGAGCCACAATGCACTAGGAGTAGATCTAACTTTGTCTAAAGCCAACTACTGAACTTTCTGGGTGATATTTGATGTTTCTTAATGTTGCGTAAGTGGTTTATCTTCCTCTAAGATTTCAAGAATGAATTGATAATGGTATTAACATGAAGGGAAAGTATGTGCAGAATGTAAATGGCTTTCTGTATTTACAGCCCCACATGTGAATTTACTCCAAAAACTTTATTTGCCACTGCCAATCTTAATGGAAGATGTGTTTTGTCTGAACGTTGTTTAGTGTATCATTTTTGTAAACAGAGCAAACTTGACATTTTCTTTTTAATTTTTTTATTTCTTTATATTGTTCCTTGATATTTTATACAAGCATATAATGTATTCTAATTACTCTTGACTATCTGATTACCCCTGCCTATCTATCTCCTTCCTGACACTGTCAACCCTCCCTCTTCTCTCTAAGTCTCTTTCCCTCATTCATGCCTTTGCTTTTGTGGTCTCGAGTTTAACCAGTGCTAACTGCATGACTCCATATATGAAGCATCTTGACTATCCATTAGAACCTGATGAATTCACCAGCTTTGCTAACTGAACACAGTGACTGTCCCTTCCCACAACTTGCCAGTAGCCAATAGTTTGTCAGAGCTCAGTAAGAGCCAGTGAGCTACTCTTCCATCTATGATGGATTGTTGACAGGTCTAGTCAAGTACAGACCCAATGTAGGAATCAAAAGCTGCTGAGAATTCATGACTAAAGATAGCATTTTGCAGCTCTTCTCCCTGTCTTCTGGCTCTCACATTCTTTATGCCTCCACTTCTGTATGTCCCCTGAGTCTTAGGGGTTGTATGGTGAAAATGTCTTATTTAGAGATGAGCAATCAGCCAAATACTTGACATTTTCTGAGAACCTCCAGAAGTTACATCTGTCCCAAAATGTTATGGAGAAAGACAATTGAGTTTTAGCATGTGTATAGGTGGGATTCTTGGGATGTCAGAGCAAGAAGGGTTGACAAAAGAACCTGACTTAGTCCAGTTCACTGGAGCCCCTGTGCTAAAGCACTGGTAAGGGAGTTAACATGGATAGTGTTTCCTCTATTTTTGATGAATTTATAAACTAATATTTCAGAATTGCGTTCTTTCAATAATAAACATCTATGCTGTATTATCCAGGATGATCTTGAACCCTTTGTCTCAAGTGGTCCTACTACTTCAGTTTCCTAAGTAGCTATGACTACAAGTACATACTTCTATACTCAATTTGGAAAGTTTTACTTTCCTTTTAATTCATAAAACTATGTGGAATAATATAATCCAAACAGTGATGTTTGTCAAGTATGTGCATCACCTAACAGGCCTGTGTAGTACTTGAATTGATAATTGTGTGAATCTTGTCTTGCTGGCTTCTCTCTGTTGCCTATAAGATAACACACTACAGATAAGGTTCCACATCATTTTCTCCATTTTCTTGATAGCAGAGGCAGCTGCCTCTCTGCATTCAGTGCGTGCTTCCTCGTGCTATGTAGTCCGTACGAGCCTCTGGCCACATACAGAAGTTTTTAATGTGTGGCTTTAAGAAATATGTCACAATGAACTTAGTCATTTGCACGTTTCTTTTTTTCACTGATATTTGCCATCGCTCCATGTTGTTAACTTCTAACTCATCGCTAGATCTCCCTTTGGGATTGACCTGGGCTCAGGTGAGTCTAGTTAATTCATTGTTAACAGTCTTGTGCTCTGTGTAATTCTATCATATGAATATTTCACATTTATATACCGTGTCCCCAAGAGACAAACACAAAGACTATCTCTGGTTTTGTGGCATCAGTTACACATATACATTTTTGTGTAGTTATTGAAGGACTACACATATTAAATGGCTATCCATTTTACTCTTTGTTTTCTTTGCTGGGGATTAGTCTGATTGGGACTAAATTGTCTTGCTGTCCTTTTCCACAGTCTTTAAGGTCATTAGAACTGTCTAAGTCAGCCTTTCTACTCAAATATTTGCACTGGAGGTGTAAAATAGCAGGCCTAAGGTCACACAAAAGTCTTGAGAGAGGAGACACATCACAGATGAGCATTAATTCAGGGTCCTCTTCTACCAAACATCCATCATTATCAACAGCTCCATCACACTTTAATTTCCCCACATTGGGCTTTGGTCACTTTACAGCTGCACACATGTGAGGGATTGCTTGTTTCACATTCACATGCAATGTCCCCTCTGTACCTCAGTTTTATGTGCATTTTCCCTTAGTGCTTAATAAGCAGAAATTTTTCATTGAGTGAATCGAATCACTTAAATGGAATGGCCATTGGATATGCAATAAAAAAAAACAAGAACAAAAACAAAAACTCTGCTAACTTAAAAAAAAATTCTGCCACTATATAAATTCTTCTTGGTTCTTGTTGCACTTTAGTATTAGCATTATTGGGTGAAAGAGAAGGGATGGGGTGAAGGGAGATGGGGGAAGGAGAGGGAGAGGAGGGGTGCTTTGGAACTGATGTTTCTCGATGGCACAGAAGCCAGAGCTCACACTCAATATCTTTCCTATCTTCGTGGAGCTCGGAACATAATTTACAGATTCTTTCTATAATACTCTAACGACTTTGAAGATTCAGTGAGAAGTCTCTCAACTTTTCTTTTTGCAGTTTTCCTTGAGCTTTTGGGTTGCTAGGTATTTTATAACAACCTAGGCATTCTGTCTGTTTTCTTCTGGGTCTTTCCTTCTAGTCCTTCTGGCTGAAATGCCTTCCAGGTCCAGCTAGATTCAATGTCAGTTCCTCCTGGATTTGTTCCTATGAGAACATTCCTGTCACTTTGCCACCAAAATATGTCATCTCTCCTCCTTTCCTTTCCAGCGTTGGGAATTACTTCTACAGTACACTGTGAGTCTCTGGAACAGACTCATCCACTCACTTCTGCTTTCTCTTCTACTACCAACAAAACAGACGGATATTGGTTCATTAACTTTAATTAAATTCTCAGGACCCTCAAAATATTATCTTTTCCTCCATCTTTTGCCAGGTGTGCCGAACCAAGGTGATAGATCTCAGTGAAGGCATTTCCCAGCATGCTTGGTACCCTTGCACCATTAATTACCCATACTACCAGCTGCCTCAGACCACATTCTGGCTCCAGGTAAGCCCCTATCTTGAGAGGCATGGTGTGTAGGTCTGGCCTCAAGGAAGTTCTGAGCACTGTGATAACTTTTGCTTGAGTTGCTCTTTCCACCCTCCAAGACTGTCAATTTGTAAGGACAGGAAACGGAAACTCATGTGATACTTCCTAAAACCGAATGCCACAATTGCTCATGGAATCACCCATCCAATGCTTATATCGCAAAGAATTTGAAATCCGCTTATTACTTATTATTCAAAACTTTAAAATTAATCTTTTCCTCTATGGAATCTATAGTGATCCACAAAACAAAGTGAGCACGTAACTCTGTATGAGCTTGGTCACCCACTGCACAGCAACCTTCGTGTGGCATTTCACATCTATATGTGGCATCATGTCTCCAGACTGTGGATTATATTCATTTTTATTTATATGCCGCTAACATGCTTTGAGCTCCATAGTTCCCACAAGTTCTAAGACCATGCTTTATTTGGCTTTTGCATGTTGGAATCTGGTAGAGAGGATAAGGTGGCTAAGTGATGGGTAATAAACCTACAATGTGCTTTGCATGTGTGTGTGCAGTTTCACTCTGTACTAGCCCTGTGCTAGACAATGTATTCTATTTGTCTTGTTAGAACTTCACAGTGGCCCTACAAACTATTTTGTTTAATCAGCTATTTAGAAATGAAGGAACTTAGGGTCAGAATGTTCCAGACATCCACCAGCATCAGACAAAAAGGCAGGAACAGAGCTGAGTCTGAAGCAAGATTTTTGGCCTGGCCTCCCCATTGGGATCCCCTGCTTCTTCATTCCCATGAGAGCAAGATTCCCCTTTGGTATACTTTAATGTGATTGCTTCCCTATCATGTGGCTGAGTAAGTGAATGACCCTCTTATGTATTCTCTATTTCAGACATATTTCTCTCAGCCAATGGTTGCTGCAGCTGTTATTATCCATCTGGTGACTGATGGGACATACTATGGGGACCAAAAGCAAGAGACCATCAGTGTCCAGCTGCTTGATACCAAAGAGCAAAGCCATGATCTAGGCAAGCATGTTTTTCTGAGCATGGTTCACCCTTGGTACCTCCTTCCATGTGTGGTTGCCTTACCCCTTTTACAAAGGATCTCCTCTTTTCCCCTCTCTTTCTCTTGCTTCCTCTCTGCTTGGAGTTCTAGTTGCCTTAATCAACATGTGGTGGTGTATACAGAGAATCCCAGATTTGGCAAATGTGAGGAAACAGATTCAGTGACAAAATTTGACCTTCATCAGCTCCATATGCTACACACCTTTAAACTTAGGAATTTAGCATATTCAAAGGACTCTGTGCAGGCGACTGAGCAAGTCCATTTCCCCACCATCTATGTCAACATCTGAAACCTATTGCAAGGCACTGGAGAGACCACACAACACTCAGCAATCCAACAATGTGAGAAGCCAGGTTTTAGGATCATAACCCTTTCTGCAGATGTTCTGCAAATCTCAAGAGTGGTTGTATATTTGGCACATTTTCCAGGAGCCATCCATGTGGGGACAGGTATTAGAAAGCTTTCTGTCAGGTTCAGGATGGGAGAAGTAAGTGAGAAGTCAAGTCACACCTATGGGGGAGCAGAGATAGAAGGGATAGAAGGAGTGTTCGCTTGAGCTGTGGGGGTCTCTATAAGCATCAGGGCTGACAGTAACAATTTATACATGCAGGAAAGAAATTGAATTTAACACGATTCAGTAGCCAGTACTGGCATGAACTTCTAGTGTCTGACATCAAGCAGTTTATTGTAGGCGTATTTAAGCACAGCACAATTTGGAGGGAAAAAGTTTCCTGGTGTAGCACAATCACCTGTTCACAAGGAGACAAAATTACACTGGAACTCTTCTCAAAGTAAATGTTACTTTTCCCATGAAGATGGGATCTAGAGACAGGCTACATGTGTTATCTTGAGGGCCTAGGGGAGGGTTTGGTGTTTTCATACAGATAGCACAGTGATCATTTAGGTTACTAGCCACCCCTGGTCCTGGTGGTGGGAGCTTGGGGGAGTCAGGTATAGCCTGGCCCTACAGAAAGCACAGGGCTTACATAGGTCATTATCTACCTCCAATCCCAGCCTTCTGGGTGGAAAATATTCATCTTGTTCTTTGAATAATTCGCCCTGCATGTTTAAACATCCCTGACTTCCCTAGTGCTGTCTGTGAACTCAAGAACATCGGTGCCCCCTGAGCACGTTCACCAGTGTTCTTAACTAGTATAGGATGGCCTTCATGGCAGGCCTCACAGTTCGAATCCCATATTTACTGTTAACCCAATCTGAAAATGTGAACAATTTTGTTGATACCATAACACCCCACTCAAAGCCTGGCATTCTCAGATTGCATTGAGAGTGGTGCCCTATGGCCAGAGGGGACATTACTTGTCACTACTGTGACTGTCTCCAGTGTAATACTTGGCACTAATTGCTTCCTATTGCTACTGAGAACACTGTTACACACTCTTATAGCCAACTACCTTGAACCTTGGGCCATTTATTGCAAGTGTTTGGAATTAGGGGTTAACTTTGGAACTGGCACTTCAAACCTCTGTGCACATCATTGTGTAGGACAGCCCATTTCAAAACTCTTAAAAAAACAGCAGACAAAGGGTCATCTCAGGGTCCAAGGAAAGCCATTACTGTTGTTGTGTTTACATGTTTATTTATTTAGTAGTTCTAAAGGCAAAAGAGAAACATTAAAAACAAAGAGAAAGAAAATCTCTTAGGAGTACTCGGGATTTCTGGGAAATTTCCTGATAGTTGGAAGGGAATATTTTCATAGTTATCCTGGCACTGCAAAGGTTGAGGAACAGAGAGGAGAAACATCAGGCTCCCCAGAAGCTCCTTGGACGCCATTGCTCTTCTCTGAGGCTTCAGTGTTACCCTGTATCTCCCCACCAGATCGTCCTGTTGTCTGCCTCCTGAATACTGGGCAGAGGATTACTAACTCTAAGTGTTAGTGTAAAACAGAGAAAGGACACCTGATGTGCTCAGGGCCTCCTCCTCCTCCCACAAGGAGAACTCTCCCATGTGCCGGCACATGGCCAAGATTGCACCACTCTTACTTGCAGAAGTAAAGGCTTAAGAACTTGCTAGAGCTCCATCAGCAGCAAGCAGCGAATCAGCGAAGCCTGCTTTTGTCCTAGCACCTCCATCCCAACGGCCCAGTCTATCCTTACCATGCAATCTGTTTGCATTTTCCCTGTGTATTTTCCTAAACCTAGGAAAAGGAACAAGAAAATATGAAGGACGGGGCTAAGACAAATTTGGATTCGACTTGTACTTGGTGCCACAATTATTTTGTGCCTGTCTGTGCTTCCCAGTTTCCATCTTTGTAGGCTGGACAGAGGTCCTTCCCACGCAGGGCTGCTCACAGGCCTACGGTGGAGCCGTGACAGTGGACTTTTCGCTCTGCATTATTTCTCCACCTTTCCTACAGCCCAGGCAGGCAGCGTGAACATCGAAGGCTCAAATCTTCAACTCCTGAAGCAACGTGGGAGGGAGGAAGGGAGGGAGAGCAATGGATGCTTGGCTGAGGGTGGCCGTTTGGGGGAGGGAGAGAGACTGCGGGCATTAGGTGAAGGAAAGCTTAGGGGCCAGGCAGGCAGGGGGATTGGAAAGATTTGGAAGCAAGAAAAAAGGCAGACAAAGAAACTTTCAATCAAACTCAAAATCCTCACTGGCCGCCCAATGGTGCTTTTGTCGTGTGACATGAAAGGGTCTGGGGGCTTCGGGAAGGGCCCGTTGGGGAGGGCGTGACTGGCCTTGAGTAATGAGCCTGGCCCCTCGGCCCTCTGTCTCCCCTGACAGGCCTCCATGTCTTGAGCTGCAGAAACAATCCCCTGATTATCCCTGTGGTCCATGACCTCAGCCAGCCCTTCTACCATAGCCAAGCAGTACGTGTGAGCTTCACATCGCCCCTGGTCGCCATCTCGGGGGTGGCCCTCCGCTCCTTCGACAACTTTGACCCCGTCACCCTGAGCAGCTGCCAGAGAGGAGAGACCTACAGTCCTGCTGAGCAGAGGTAAGCCGAGCAGGGCCTTCCCACCCTGGATCATTTGTAGTAGTGGAGAGAGCCCGAGGAGCCACCGCTGTTGCTGCTACGATCTGTGTGCTTCTCGGCATCCTCCATGCTCTGTCCTCTGGCCACCTTGGCCTTCATGATCGAGAAGCCCACAAGCCCCTGACCTCTAGAGTATCTTAGAAAGCGAATATGCGCTGAGTGGTGGAGAGGAATGCTCCTTTCACCTGACCTTCAGCTGCTGAGTTGACAACACGCTCCAAGTTTTCTTCACTAGACAGGCCAGCTAGAGCAATTCTTGATGTTGAGTATTCTCCTTTGATGGTGGAGTTGTGGCAGGTGTCCTCATCTATTAAGGATGTTTTGACTACTGTGTGTTTCATTCCAGTTCCTAGGAGCTTTAGTGATGCGTGAAGCCCCTTTCCCTTCTGCAGCCTTAGTCCCGGAGAGTCCCTCGGTGGTGGAGGATCTTGTGTTTTAACTGCACCGCAGTGTCGTTCCATCAGGGCCTTTGCCCTGGCATCTGTTAGTACCACCTAGCTCTTGCTGTGAAAGGAGAGTATTCTTTGAAAGGATGAGTTTGGGGAATACTCTTAACTTGGGGTTGGATCCCCTATTCCTGCTTCGTTGATGGATGTCCTTACACGAATCACCTTCCCTTTCAGTCTCAGTTTCCTGTTTAGGAACAAGAGGATAATGTCTATCCACCCATCTGGGGGATTGTGAGGGGGACTATTATACTGTAGATGAAAATGATCTTGCACACTCTTCCTTGTGAAAGGTCAATGTATCACTGAGGACTATTAACAGTCACTTTCCAACTACGATGGTGGTGCCTCTGTGCACAGGAAATCTGTCTTTTGCTCTTGGAAGTCAGAAGCAAAAGAAACCTCAGAAACAATGTAGGGCAATCCGCGTATCCGAACTTAGTGTTAGCATCCAGGACCCCAAGGCCCGGAAGGGGGAAATGGTCCGGCATGGCTGAGAATCTCTCAAACTCGTTTAATAACATTGAGGGGTAGAATTGGAAAATTGGTGGGCTCTGCAGAGTGGAGCTCTCGATGTAGCAATTCAGCCCTGCCCTGTACACCTGGGGCAAGGAGCGGGAAGAGGAATGATGGGGGACATTAGCCTTTCCCACACCCCTGCTCCCACAGAGGACACAAAAGGTGGTTGCAAAATCCGCATTGTTTTGCACCCACAGTCCCCAGCTTCTGTTGTGCACAGTGTGTTGCAATCAGTGCGATGGAAGAGCTCCTTAACACATCTCTCATTGTCAATCCCTTCTAACAGCATTTCTCCGTCCCCAACTCTTCAGGCGCTATAAAAATAAGTTAATTCTCTGAGCCCAGGGAAACAATGCCAATGGAAAATGCAAATCCATCAGCCCTTCTTCACAATGTGGTACCATCCTCAGCAGGTTGTCTGTACCATCCGCAAGCTGACCAAAGCCAGTACTGTCTCCTCGGCACTTCCTGTGTACTAAGGAAACAGTGTTTAAGCTCTGAAATGAATCACTCGATATATGATTATACAGTTCTTTTATGGCAGAGGAACACGGATGTGGGACAAAGCATTATCCTGTCCAGTTCGTGTGACTCTAGACTGTAATCACTCCCATTCTCTGAGCCTCTGTTTCTCTTTAAGATTGAGATGCTAATGAATAGTATATTTCCTGTGGCTCATTCCAGGTATCACAGCCTGTGATTCCTAAAGCTAGGCAATGTAAGAAGAAAAAGAAAGAAACAAACTTCCATTAAGCAGGTGATAAGTGAAGGATCTTATTTGATTTTCACACTGTTTGGGAATGACCTAACATAGAGAAATAGCTGGTGAACCAAGGGCAAGAAGGCCGTAAGAGGGGGACTCTGCCGTTTGTCCTTGAAAGGCAAAGCCTGCACACCCACTGCATCAAAGAACGTGCAGAGGAGAAAAGATGCTTCCAGACCTGTCATGTGTGAGCATTGCCCTTCTTCTCTGGGCAAAGCGATGCAGAAGAAGCCATGACGGCTTTGGCTTGCTGGGCTCTGCACTTGGACCAGGCTGCCCAGAAGGCTGGGACTGCAAACCTGCAGGATCCTTCTGAATTTCCCAGTGGGGAAAGGACAACAGCTGTTCCTGGGGAGCTGCAGAGGCTTTGACAAAAACAGGCAGGACTCTGCAATCATGCAAATGTAGTAAAACAACCCAGAAAGCAGGAAAAAGAAAAATAAGCAGCAATGTGTACAAAGGCCTGGGATGCGGGTTTCATTCTTAAAATCAGCAAATCAGAGCAGTCAGTGCCTTTGCTTTTTGCAGCAGAGACTTCAGTTGGCTGGACTTGAACCTTTTCATTTTACTCTAGTCTGGTTTTCTGGCCTTAAAAGTCACTTTCCCCTCCCACCCAGAAGTTTTGTCTTCTCCCTCCACCTCTTCCTCTTCTCTCTTCTGTTTTCCTCCAGTGAACTGCCATAGGAAAAGCATTGCTGCCACAAAATCAATGTAGATTGTGTTTTCTGACCTAGACCGAAGGGTCCCTAGCACCTGAGCAGTATTGGGAATCAGAGCCCTATTTTCACAAAAGGATAAGGTTCAGTTGTGGAATTCCAGCTGCTCTCAGCTTTATCCCTAGCTGGAGAATGAGACACAAGTGAGATGACAGGGGTGGAGTGGAGGGCTAAAGGCTTCCTTAAGGACAAATGTCCAGTCGTGATAAGAGGCACCAGTGTCTGTCTTTCTCCATGTAGTCAGTCTGCTTTCCTTCCTATCTCCTCCTTGCCTATCCATCTATCCATGTAGCCAGCCAGTCAGTCATTCACCCATCCAAATACTCCTCGATTCTTAATACAGAAAAACAAAATCAAACAACTTACAAATTTTAGTAGGTTAAATATTTAAACAATTAAGTTAAAACCACTTCTCTCTCCCTTTCCCCTTTCTCTCTTCTTCCTTCCTCTCCCTCCTACCTTCTTATCTTTTATTTTCTTATTCTCTTCCTTTACCTCAAACTTTCCCCCTTTCTACATGCTAGAGGTAAAACTGACACCTGTCATTTAGAAGACTCTTTGCTAGACTCGAGCTCTTCATGTGGCTGTGAGGATCTCTTTCCAGGCAGGCAGAAGAAGACTCACATAGGAAGCAAATGGTCCTGAAGTCTACACTTTCCAGGACCCCAAGTATGGAATACCCTAGAAAGTCACTATACAAATGTTCACACTGGAAGCTCAGACTGAAGTTTTCAGGGCCATGTGGAACTAGCTAAGTCAGCGGACTAGAAATCACAGACCTCTATCTACTAAATAACCTGAGAGTAAAGGAAAGAATCATTGCTTCCCGAGCCACACACTGGCCAGAGGGCACCCACCAGCTCTCCTTGACTTTCAATAGTTTCTCTACACACTGTGGGCCACTGAGTTTGTCCCTCACTCTTCGACATCTGATCTCCATACCCTACCACCAGGAAGGGTTGGGTAGAAAATGTATTGTCACTTTTGCTTTTCCCTCATTTCTGGGCAATAAAGCAAGGTCCTATTGGGCTAACTTTTCTGTTTCTCTCCAAATGACCTGAAGAGTTCGTGCCCAGGTTTTCCTTTCATTGTCCACTTTTCACGATATGGCCACTTGTTGTGACTGCCGCTAATGGCATAACTGTAGTTAAGCACTAGAATGCAGGCATTAAGAAAAGGGCAGAGGCTGAGAAAAATGTCCTCTTCAGCTCTTTAATATTGTCTTCCTCCTGGCTGGCAGATTTTCCCAGGTGTAAGTCGCTGGGTGCGGGATGTTCATTTCAGTTATTGGTAGGAATAGGGCAGCTGAAAAGTTGGTATGGAGTCGCAGCAGGTACGTCCCTTGTGGAGATCTTGAAGGCTTAAGAAAACAGATGCAGGGCGTGTGGACACGTGATTGCAAAGGGAAGGAAAATAGCGCCTTTGCCTCGCTGTGAGAACTGGGTACATTTCCTCTTGTTCATTCACCCAACCAGACATATCTTTCCTTTAGAGACAGACTTCCTTTTATTCTTTTTTCTTTTTACTTCACTGCCCATCACTAGTGTTGAGCCCCACCCCCACTGCTACCCTCAGCCCACCCTTCTGCTTTGGATCAGAGCCTTTTGTTTTGTTTACTTAGGTTTTGTATTTCAGAAATGGATGACCCTTGTATGGGGATGATGATATGTTCGGAGGTCCAGTTGTCATTCTTGGGCAGTGTGTATAACGTTTTCTAGACAGTGGGATAGCACTGACAAAAATGAGGTCTTGGAAAGAATAAAGGCGAATGTTCAGGCTGAAAGCCCACCCTTTCCGTGGGAATACCATCATTAGTCCAGGGGCATCATGCAGCTGCTGAGAAGGTAAGACAGTGACATCCATGCCCAATGCCTGGCATCGCTCACTTCATTTCCCGTTACTTCCCTTCTTATTTGCAAGTCTACAAGTCAGGTGCAGACAGATGTTCTGAGAAGAAAAGGATGCTTTACATCCAAAGAACTTTCTAAAAAGACACTGAGCCTAAGAATTGCCCCATAATAAAAAGAATATTAGCATTTGGAAAGTGATCTCCCCTTTTGGCCATTCTGGACATCATCAACGTGCATCTGCGAATTGAACTTTGTGAGTTCTAGAACAGTGGTTTTCAACCTGCGGGCTACAGACCTTTAGACATTCCTTCTTCAAAAATCTCTTTTCTTATCCATTGTTTAATCTGAGTAGTTGAGAGGATGAGATCCAGGTCCTCTACTCCCTGCTAAAACAAAATACTGGTAATGATTTCAAAACTGGGGCCATGAAGGTTTGGAACACTCATCTGAAGCTGCTTCACTCCAAACAGTTTTGTTTTTCTTACACAAAAGCAGGAAAACAAATGCTGGACGAAGTGACACACACCTTCATCCCAGCACTTGGGAGGCAGCAGGAGGCAGATCTCTGCTAATTTGAGGCCTATCTGGTCTACATACTGAGCTGTATGTATGTATATATGGCTAAAGCTATATAAGGAGACCCTGCTTTGAATGCCCCCAACCAAAAAAAAAAAAAAAAAAAAAAAAACCTCAGGAAATCCAAAGACTTGGAGTTCTGGATGCAAATTTAGCCAACTGGGAACACTGTAGCCAAGGCTTTAGGATAGACATAGAGAAAACTTTTGCTCAGTGGAGTTTGCTGCCAAAAACAATATTTTAACTACTATGAATTTTCTTTGCTTTTCTTTCCTTCTTTCCTTCCTTCCTTCTTTCCTTCCTTCCTTCTTTCCTTCCTTCCTTCCTTCCTTCCTCTTTTTTTTCTTTCTTTTTTTTTCTTTTCTTTTTTTTTTTTTTGGAGACAGAGTTTTTCTGTGGCTTTGGACCCTAACATGGAACTAGATCTGTAGACCTCAACTCACAGAGATCCGCCTGGCTCTATCTCCCGAGTTCTGGGATTAAAGGCATACGCCACCACCACGCAGACCTGTGAAAATTTCAAGCTATTGAAAGTTGCTACCACCAGTTGTTTCTTTCTATTTAGTCAACATCTGGGTGAAAGCCATTTTTATTCATAATGCCAGGATGAAATAGTCATTGGGTCTATTCATAACAATGTTCTAAGTCTTGACCCATAGGGTAATGTTAGCTATGAAGACCTTCAGGTCTCACATAGGGGTGGAAATTTAAACAGGCAACTTCTTCCCAGGTTTCAATATTTCCAATTAAAAAAGGAATAATGCTTAACTCATAGATTTATTGTTATACTGAAATGAGCTCACTCAGATACACTCCCTGTGATTAATTGCTACTGTTCTGAGTATGTGTGTATATATAGCCCAATGGGAGGGGCTACCTTAGTACAAGGGTTTTATATGATCTCTACTTGAATCTTTAAAGATTAGCGTGCAGTTGGGTACCTCGTAGGCATTTACATCCTAAACTACAAATGCACTGAGTGAGAGCAACAGGATGAGAGACAGGAAGGCAGAATGTCTGTGAGGAAACTCATTATTACAGAAGGGAATTCTCCCGTGGAATTAGTTATGACTTGAACATTGGGCAGAATTCAGATTAGCCAGGAAGTGAAAATGACAGCCAAAGAAAGATATAAGACATGGTTTCTGTACATTTTTTTTTCTAAGGCTTTGTGAGTTGCATTACAGTTCAGAAAGACAGCCCCTGCCACTGCCACAGAGTCTCATGGGTCTGTGAGGTGGGGGCAAATCTCAAGGGCACTGAGGCTCTCATAAATAACACATTTGCCCAAGCAACACAATTTCTAGGTGACAAATATAGTACTGACGGCTGAGGCTTAGAATGTGCTGGGAATTTGGCTACTTGCATTTCATAAATTAATCAATCGTATTCTGTAGATGGAAGTTTCTGTCTCACCTGGTCCTATAGCCATTCAGTCCCAAGTAAACACACAGAAGCTTAAACATTTATTATCAACTGTTTGACCTATTGCTCAGGCTTATTATAAACTAGTTCTTACAACTTAAATTAACCCATAATTCTTATCTATATTTAGCCATGTGGCTTGGTACCTTTTCTTACTAGGGCATTCTCATCTTGCTTCCCCTGTGTCTGGCTGGAGACTGAATCTCTGCCTTTCCTCTTCCTAGCATTCTCCTAGTCTGGTCACTCCACCTATACTTCCTGCCTGGCTACTGGCCAACCGGTGTTTTTTTTTTTTTAAACCAATATGAGTGACAAATCTTTACAGTGTATGAGAGTGTTAACTCACAACAAAATTCTCCCCATGGCTCTTGGAAGTCAGAACTCACAAGAAATGGGGAGGATGACCCTAGATTCAAGTTTACCCCCATTTCTTATATTCTTAAAAAGCCATAACAGTGGCCTTCAGAATCATCTTTGCTTGATTCTGTTCGTCTCCTGAAGCTCTGAGGAGAGGTCTAGTCTTGAGCTTTTAGCTGGAGTAAAGCTGCCTTGTGAGGAAACCCCAGTTCACCTTCTTATTCCTTCCTCCCCAGCTGTGTGCATTTTGCCTGTGAAGCCACGGACTGTCCAGAATTGACTGTGGAGAATGCTTCTCTCAACTGTTCCAGCAATCACCGCTACCATGGTGCCCAGTGCACTGTGAGATGTCAGACAGGTTATGTGCTGCAGATACAGCGGGATGATGAGTTGATCAAGAGCCAGGTTTGTGGATGCAGACAGGAAAGCCCTTTTACAGTCAGGAAAGGCTGGCAGGTGTGGGATGGGTTCTCTGCTGAAGCCTCAGTACTGAAAATACTGCTGCCACAGAAAACAAGTGAATAAAAAACTGCTCGCTCTCCCTCTGATCTTTCTTCTTCTCCCTCTCTCCAGCTCTTTCTCATATATATATATCCACATCTGGGGGCTAGTGTTTCTAAAATCATTCAAGTCATAAATGATTTTATATATATGCATGTGTATAAGCACACATACACACAATTCATGTATGTAGTTTTATCCCAATTAATGAACCAATGATGCAATCAACAAAAAATAAACCAATTGTGACTCTGCAAGAAGAGGGCTTCTGTCCAATAAATATTGTGGACAGCAAATATTAATACTGGTGTGTAGGTTACAGATCCAGGATATAGAATTAACATATTGGAAAGAGAGGCTGACCCTCAAAATTCTGCATGATGGAGTGAGATGGTTTAGGTAGATGGGGACTCTCAGTCTGCGTGTCTCTTCATTCATTCACTATCACATTCATTCATTCATTGCAATATCTGAGTTCACCACTGTGCTAGGTCCTGGAGGAAAAAAAAGCCCTTAAGACTGAACTGTTTCTTAGTGACTAACAGACAACATGGAGACAGAGAGGGACATATACGGTTTTGAAGAAATGTATAGGCACTTAAGAAAGTGCCCTGAAAGAAGTAATATGACAACTGAGAGGTGGTTTGATGGGCATAGGTGTATCTGAAGAAAACAAATTAAAAAAAAGTGTGCTTTTGTACAGGCAGGGGAATATATGTGAAAGTCTGTTAGTGTTGTAAGTGGCCACATCCGGGGGCTAGTGTTTCTAAAATCATACAAGTCATGAGCCTAGAGGGTCGAATTGAGTCCATTGATGCCAGGTCCTGCCAGTGTAGTTGGCAAGTTTGGAACTGTGGTGGCAGCAAGAAGCCACAGAAGGGCATGATATGATTATATCCTGATAAACAAAGACCTCATCTGCCTGCCCACGTGGGTGGGCATAGAGTGTAAGCAGTGAGACAGACAGCAGACAGACCCATGGGGATGTTAATGATGGGGCCCTTGAAGGTTGGGATGTTCCTTCATGAAGTTATTGGAAACAGAGATAAGTGGCGTGGCAAAGCTGACTTGAGCCTGACGCTGCTTTGGGGATCTCAGGTCCAACAGGAGGGAGTGGGATAAACTGGCGGCCCCAAGCTTTGAGGATCCCACAGCACAGTAGGTGCAGTTCCCCGTGGTCCCACCAGCAGACTGCATCCTCTTGCTGCTAGCACACAGGGCCACTTTCTTCATTGCTGGGAATGCCTATTCGTGTAGAGCTTCTGGGTTGGCTTGACTTGGACACCTACTTCCATGTGCCAGACATGGCAGGTCTGAACTCCTATGGAAACAATTAGGTTGCCTTGGCAGTGAGAGACCTCTGTTTCCTTTGATGTGTACTTAAGAGAGGAAAACGTCCTTTGCTTTTAAAAAGCCCAAGTCAACATTTGGCACTCTCAACCCCCAGGGATTTGGCTGCCTCCTCCTTGAATGGAAGACTCGGGCTGCCAATGACAGACCTTCTCTTGGCTCTGCAGCCTCACCTCACCCTTCCACCTACACAGCCCTGCCATTTCCTAGTTCAGTTGAAATCAGATAGACCTTTCAGTGTTCTTAAATTTGTTTTTGAATCAATTTTATTCTTGATTATTCAAGATTATTTTTTTTCTGGAGCCCCTAAATCTCATAATAGGCAGTAGCATATGATGTAACCTTTGGGTCCAGTCCATTCATTTTTGACTGGCAATTCAAGAAAGAGGACTTTCTCATGCAGAGACATCAGGCTTCCCACACCCAAAGGCACTCCCTAACTTAATACCAAGTACTTTAGCTACCTCTGTGTAAATCCCTTCAAGAGAAGATATCAGGACCAGCCCTTGGCGAGCTTTTATTGAACATGTGTTAGAGTATGCTCTGTAACAGAAATCACACCGTGTGAGGTCTCTGAATCTCCAGATTCTCATAAAAACGAATTTGATGATCTATCTAGAAGACATTATAGATTATAGTTCTGAACATATTTGAGTTCAAGTCACACTTAGCTTTTCTCTTAGTAGGTAACCTGGGGCAGTCATATAATGTTTCTAGGCTTTCATTTCTGCATCATTAAATGAGGATTAAAATATCTAGTCCAAAAAGTTGTTGAGTTATTAAAAATGAGTTCAACACTGAGAATAGGTTTTCTCATTGCTCGACAAGAGTCTAACCTGTCACTTATGGAGAAGGGCATGTCCTCATATCCAAGGACCTGCCTGCTGTCCTTCATTGTATCTTTCTCTGCTTCTCAGATAGGACCAAGCATCACAGTGACATGTACGGAAGGCAAATGGAACAAGCAGGTGGCATGTGAGCCAGTGGACTGCGGGGTCCCAGATCATCATCACGTCTATGCTGCCTCCTTCTCCTGCCCAGAGGGCACCACTTTTGGTAGAAGATGCTCCTTTCAGTGTCGCCACCCTGCCCAGTTGAAAGGTATTCTAATCTCTTTGTCCCAGTCTGGCCTTTATCAGCTCTGAAAAGCCTAGTGGCTGTTTCCAAACCTCCTTCTGGGTTTCAGATGCCAAGAGGTCCTCAGAGTTGTGTGGCTTCCTGGATTCTTTTTACCATTTGTAGTCATGTAAACTGGCTTGCTATGCAGCCAGAAATTTAAAAATATAGAAATTTATGTGTGTATAAAATGGAAGTTAATACTCATTCAAGATTTTGTAAATCTTTCAGAAAAAAATGATAGGGGTGGGGCAGGGCAGTAAAGATAATTCTGTTTAGAATGGCTATATATAGCATACTGTGTATGATTAAGAACCAGTAACCCTCATGAGGTATTATTATTAGTCTTTGAATTACCCAAAGGAAAATCCAAACAATTATTAAAAATTAACAAAATAACCCAAGATTGCTATATTAGTGATGGCAACCACATTGTGCCCCCAGTCTGTTTCTGCCCAATGTCAGTTCTGCTCTTTACAAAGAGAGCCTGAGTCTGGAGAAAAGTAAGTGTGGCCAGTAAGCACTCAGCATCTCCTCGACTAAGCAATAGGAATACGGTGGTAAAGAAGAGGGCATCTGGGAGGTTGAAGAAGAGGTCACCCTTTAGAAATGGGGGAGAACCTGGTCTGGAGGCTCATAGTGAATTTCTGGAAATGCAAGCTTTAAAAAGAGGCCTCACAGCCCACCCAGAATACTGGAAATACTGAGGACCAAAGTACACCAAGGAGAGGAAGACATTCCACAGAGCTCAGTAGCAGCAATTTTGTCTGATTTCAGAGATAGAAGGGTTCTATATTTCTGTTGGTTTCTTAGAAGAAATGATTTTTCATTCTTAAATTCTAACAATAACTTGAAGTGTGACATAAAACTACCTTGTTTACCAGTGAAATAGTCTTCCTATGCCTGCCTTTGCCTCCCTCCATCTGTTTGCGCAGTAGCAAACAGTGCTCCAGATTCCTTTACTTCTCTCCTGAACAAGGATTCTCTGCTAATGATCCCGGAAAATGACTGCTTTCTAAGACATTCTTTTTCCTCTGTATTTTCTATTTGGAAAGAAAAATGAGCTACCTTGGTAAAGTTCTTCATGTGAGGGGAGAAGCTGGGAGGGGTAGTATCCCACTGTGTAGCTTATCCTTCATTCCTAGACCCTCCACTGACCCCATCAGTATTTCACTGAATGCAGCTTCGTAGGATTTCTTTGACCATGTTCATGGGTAGGATCTCCAGTGTGGATGAGGAGTGTGATGGGTTGTCTGGGAATCCCAGTAGCCTAGAACTACTCATTAGAGGATTAGTTGTTTCTTTAGATACCTTTGCTATCATTTCACCTTCTTCCGAACTTTCTAAAGCTCCATACATTCCTGACAGAAATTCCCATGTGTTACTTTTGAGAAATCAGTCTAAAGTTCTCTGTGCCCACAATTCCTGCTCCACTGGGTTCTCTCCTATTTGTCTTTTCATTTTACCCCTTCTTTGGTAACTTCTGTGAGTGTCTACTCCTTACCAAGAACAATGCAAGTGAATATCTTTGTAATCCTAAGAGTCCTAGCTTTAGGCTATTGCAGATTTTGAAGACTTGCTTGTCCTTATTCTAGTCCAGCTAACTGAAATTTTATTCTATGCAGAGTATGAGTGATCAATACCCTTTCACCTTAAAATGCTCAAGTTTGCTAAGAACTCAGAAGTAACTTTTGCTTAGGATCAGGGAAGCTAAACCACACATTCAAGATCATAAATAAAGTCATGATGCTTCAGTCATGCAACAAGTGGAAACTGAGGGACTGCTATGTACTGGGCAGCGTATAGGCTTTTGGAATAAAGAGTGAGCACAATGCATGTTCTAGTCTTAGGATGGTATCAGTGACCACACTATGTGGCAAACAGAGGAAAGAAGACAAAACCAAACCAAGCCAGACTGAAGGTCTGAAACTCTACTTCCTGGTTATATTCTATTATATATAGTAGTTCCAGACAACCCATTCTGATGCTTAATTTTTTCATGGATGCACTATGATTTCAAAAATTTGGGGGAGACAATATGATGTTTGGATGCACATATAAACTGTGCCCTGATCAAATTAGGGTAACTGATCTACCTATTACTTTAAACATTTACTTGTGAGGTCATTCAAAAAAAAAAAGTAAGCTAATCACAGTGAGCATCACTCTCCAGTCATGACTAAATGTTCACAGTTTCTTTCATACTTACTAGAGAGGAAAATGTCCTTACACACATATGGAGACAGGCTAAGCCACATTTATTTTTCAGACTTTAAGAGAGCATACATATATACATGTAAGTATGTAACAATAATTAATGGGTAATAGGTCATTAATTTAAAAAGAATAAGGAAAGTTTATGTGATATTGTGGGGAGGAAAGGAGGGAGGTAAATGATGTTATTATATTATAACCTCAAAAACTAAAATAAATAATTTTAAAAAACATTAAAAAATGAACAGTGGCTCAGTTAAGAATACCTCCTGCCCTTGTAGATGATCCAGATTAGATTCCCAACATCGTGGTTCACAACCATCTGAAACTCTAGTTACAGAGGATCTAACACCCTCTTCTGACCTCTGTGGGTACTAGGCATACACATCATACAGATACATACTTGAAGGCAGAACACTCATACATACAAAATAAAACAAAAATTTAAAGAAATTAACAAGATGAACAAATGCAATTGCAGAGTACCACAACTCATGAGCTCCCGGTGTCTAATATACACATTCTCACCCTCTGCTAGAAAGGCCAGCCTTCATTTTGTGACATATGTCATGTTATCCAGAAACCATAGCTTGGAAGATATGAAGAGGGAAGACATGGTATTGGCAAGGCAATAAGAGTTTCTTCTAAAGCAGTCAGCAAGGGAAACAATGAGAGCATATTCTCTAGTCTCTAGAGTAGAACATTTCTGAGTGGCCAAAACTCTAAATGGTCTATAGGTCCACGAACAATTATTGGTTGGGTGTTGATTCCAGCACACCTTGGTTTTCGTGCACGTGGGTAACACATGTTTCTGACCAGAAGTAAAAACCTCAGTGTATTAACCATCCTTCTGAGTTTGTGGGCCATTGTCAAGGACAAAGAGTGTGTTTTCCAGAGTGTATATGGCCGACTTCCTCAGCACCACTTGGTAGATGCAGGCAGTGGCCATAGCTAGGGACTGGAATCCCTGACCCCATGGATTCCTTTGTCTGGACCAGGTATGAGCTGGGTGTGAGGGGGGAAGACACATCCACGTTCCTGAAAGAAAGTTCTGCTCTCCTCTGTGTATTCTTTATCTCTGATTGTACTCTCTAGGTACTCTCTCCTACAATGTACATTTTTAGTTTGACACTTTCCTATTTATTGAGGCTCTGCAATCCTTACATCATCTCACAACAAAGAAGTATGCCTCTCTGTTTACAGTTTATAGCATTTGCAACTGGTGTAGTCCCAACACCGATAAAAGCACCAACACTTTAACTATGGATATTGCAACACCTTTGCGCAATTTGGAAAGGACGCCACTCCTGTATCTTCTAGAGCTCCCATTCTTTTTTCTTTAATTTTTTTTACTTTTATGAAACATTATTGATTCCTTTTTTAATTTATTAGATTTAAAAAAAATACCAATCCAATCTCCCACTACCTCCCCTCCTCCCATTCCCTCCACATACCTTCCCACCCCACCCTCATCCAATCCTCAGAGAGGGTAAGGCACATTGCTTTGGGGAAGGTCCAAGGCCCTCCCTACTATATCTAGGCTGAGCAAGGTATCCATCCAAAGAGAACCAGTTCCCAAAAAGCCAGTGGGGATAAATCCTGGTGCCACTGCCAGTGGCCCCTTAGTCTGCCCCAGCAATTCAATGGTCAGTCACATTCAGAGGGACTAATTTGGTCCTATGCTTGTTCCTTTTCAGTCCTGCTGGGGCTGGTGAGCTCCCATTAGCTCAGGTAAACTGTTTCAGTGGGTGAACCCATCATGGTCTTGATCTCTTTGCTCATATTCTCATTCCTTCCATTCTTAACTAGACTTTGGGAGCTCAGCCCAATGCTCTGATGTGGGTCTCTGCCTCCATCAGTTGCTGGATGAAGGCTCTATGGTGATATTTAAGATAATCATCAGTCTGACTACAGGGCAAGTCATGATCAGTCCCCCTCTCCTCTATTGCTTAGAGTCTTAGCCGGTGTCATCCTTGTGAATTCCTGGGAATTTCTCTAGAGTCAGGTTTCTGCTAACCCTATAATGGCTCCCTCAGTCAAGATATCTCTTTCCTTGCTCTCGTCTCTGTCCTTCCTCCATCTCAGCTATCCCATTCCCTCAAGTTCTCCTGAACCCTCTTCTTCTCCTGTTATCTTCCCCTTCTATCCTCCCTTTTCTTCCCACTCCCATGCAATTGTCAGGCAATCTTGTTTGTTTCCAGTTTCCAGGTGGATCTATATATATTTTTCTTTGGGTTCACCTTATTACTTAGCTTCTCCAAGATCATGAACTATAGGCTCAATGCCAAAGGACATTGCTAAAGCTCTCATTCTTACCAAACTGCTGATACATCTGGCATTCCCAAACAACTATCAACCCTAACCCCTAACCCCAAAACAATGCAGGGAAGTTTCCTGTCTCTGGTTTTCTGGAAGTCTCTTGGCTTTGATGAAAACTCAGTGACTCACCTTTTACCCCTCTCTCTTTCCCTGGGATGTGAGAAATATCTGGCTGGTGGTACTATAGCTTACAAGTTAGCATTTTCTGTGGGGCTGTGCAAACATGTTTCATGTCATCTAGGTGAATCATGCTGACCAGGGGGTGAATCATAGGAAACTAACAATGAAAGGAGACACCGAAACGTGGACACAAAATTGTGAAGTAGTTCTGTTGTCTTTTTCTCTTTCTTCATTTGATCTCAGGTAGTAGTTTCTATCACGTGTAAGAATACTAGTTAATTTTTATTTTACAAAAATTTGTCATGCCCCTTCATATAACATTAGATTATGAATAGTAGCATGTACACGTTATTTTTGCCTTGTTTTGTGCATTGCTTTGTCCCAGCATATAAAGTACTTGGCACACCATAAGCATTGCCACTGTTAGTGGAATGGATGAAGGTGTCTTTGCATCTCACACAGGTCCTATCATTATCCTTGTGCAAGTGTGATGTTAGCAGAGAGGGAGGAGGGAAGGGCGAACAGGCCTGTGATGGACACTTCTTAGAAGTGTTGCTATATTTAGCCTTCTGAGCACTGGAAAAGCAGGAAAAGTCACTTTTTCTACAGACACAAAAATTAAGGTAACACCATCCTCAGTGCGAAATAAGAGTTTTGTTGAACACAAAGACACAACCCTTTAATGTATAAACGACTGTATCCATAGCAAGACAAACCTTTTGCTATTGACAAGCTATTTTGCTATTGTAAGAGCTTGATCAAGCTGCCCTCTCTTTTCCAAGTGGGAATTAGCATGCTAAGCACTGTGCATTTCAAAGCACTCTATGCATAGTAACTGCTCAATAAACATCAGTTTCCTTCCTAGTGCTCATGGTCTCCCTACCACACTTGAAATCTAGAGACTCCCATGTTCTTTGAGCACTGCTTGTCAGCACCACTCAGCATTAACCAATCAGAGGGGATCAGTGGTAAAACACCCACTCCAGGTCCTCTCCAATGGTCTTGAGTTCAGGAAAGGCTGGATCCCCATAATACATGAACTGGCAATGAAAAGTCTAGCTTCTGGCTTTTACTTTTATCTGCACCAACCCCCATCAGGCGAGTATCCTGAAGGCAGTAAGTACTCTGTCAGAGCTGGCTGATTCTCGGGGCAGAATCTGCTGCTCTTTCTTCTTCTCTGGCAGAACTCCTCTGAGTGCTGGGGTCTGAGAAAGAAGAAGAAAGAAAGAGAGAGAGAGAGAGAGAGAGAGAGAGAGAGAGAGAGAGAGAGAGAGAAAAGAGAGAAGAGAGAGAGAGAGAGAGAGAGAGAGAGAAGAGAGAAGAGAGAAGAGAGAAGAGAGAAGAGAGAAGAGAGAAGAGAGAAAGACTCCTGAAAACATGGTGTTGTCACTTTCAGGCTTGGGGAAGCCAGGATAGATACAGGGTCCAGGCTCTGGATCACAAAGAGCACTGTTAGCATGGCTAACATCGTTTAAGATGAGTACCACTGTCTTCAGTGAGGACACACATCTGCAGGGCAAGGGGATGATGGAAGGACCAGAAAGGGGCTTTTTCCTGTGTAGCATAAGAGGCGCAAATGATTGGGATTTTAACACACAGGAGACATGGGCTGAGTCTAGCTTCCATGTCTGTTTGATGTAGCAACTGCCCGGTGCTCTTCAGAGATGCTGAGTTCTTAGAAGGAGGCATTGGACTTCCAGTCAGGAATCCCTGGGGACTGCATGTTGGTTCAAATTCAGGCAGCTCATGTGTTATCTTAGCTGTTGGTGGACTCATTGCTCTGCTAACCCTGCCTGACTGTCTTCCAGGCAACAACAGCATTCTGACCTGTATGGAAGATGGACTGTGGTCCTTCCCAGAGGCCCTGTGTGAGCTCATGTGCCTCGCACCACCTCCAGTTCTTCACGCAGACCTGCAGACAGCCAGATGTCGCGAGAACAAGCACAAGGTGGGATCCTTCTGCAAGTACAAGTGCAAGCCTGGATACCACGTGCCTGGCTCTTCTCGGAAGTCCAAGAAGTAAGTGGTGCTGGGAATACCCTCATAGGCTCCAAGGAGGCAAAGTCAGATCCACATACCTCTTTGAAAGGAAACATCCCTGGCTTTGCTGGAGGCTATACCAAGAGTATCCCCTTCTGTCCCATGCAAAACACATAGAAGAGTAGGTATGAGTCACATATGGTCAGCTTCAAGTCACAGCCCCTCTGCAGACTGGCTATATGCTCTCAGACCAGTGGTTCATTTTCTCTGTTTTCCTATATTTTCAGTGGCAATATGAAGATTGTAAGTTACCACACAGTGTTGTCATGACATAGAAGGACTTCCAGAAATGCCTTGTACGAAGTGCTTGTTCAAGAAATACCAGGTGTTCATACCAGCACTGTACAGGAACCCATGAGAACATTCAGAAAGGAAAAGAGAATACAGGGCATTGGTGGGGATTGAGTTGTCCCAAACCACACCTGACAGACAACCTATCTTTGACAATGTTATTCAATGAATTCTTTATTATTGTTGTGGTTGCTATAATCACAGCATTCTCCCTTTCCTTTTCCTTCAAACCTTCCCATGTATGTGCTCTTGCTCTTTTCAAATTCATGATCTGTTTTTCTTGACACCACACACACACACACACACACACATACACACACTATACATAGATATATTCCTAAATATATAAGTATGGCCTGCTCAGTCAACATAGTATTACACACACATATCTATCTCTCTGCCATTTATTTACATGAACAAGACTATTTCTCCTGCTTTAGCCATCCTCAGTTGCCTATGGTTCTTTTCCTACGGATGAGCCCCCGTAAGCTTCCCATTTTCGTGTTAGCATGTCTGTTGGTGTCATCCTTGTTTAGGCCATGTTGATGAGACTTCATGGTACTCCTCTGATATTTCTAGAGACAAAAATATGACAGTAAACTTCTTGTTCTTTTGACTTTTGCAGTGTTTCCTCCCCTGGTTTTGTATGTAATGATCCCTAAGGCTTAGATGCATGGGTTGTGTTGTAGATGTATTGCTTGGCTCTGGGCTCAAAAACTCTACATTATGAGAAACTGTGGTTTTCTGCCATGGTCTCCACCATGAGCCTCACACATCCCATAGATAGGCAGGGGATATGAACAGGAAGACAAAGTGAGGCTCCCTGGTACTGTTCACCTTCGAAGCATGTGATCCTCAGAATGACTTTTCTTTCATGTTTCCTGAAGACGGGCTTTCAAGACTCAATGTACCCAAGATGGCAGCTGGCAGGAGGGAACTTGTGTGCCTGTGACTTGTGACCCACCTCCAGCCAAATTCCATGGGCTCTACCAATGCAGTAATGGCTTCCAGTTCAACAGTGAATGCAGGCTCAAATGTGAAGACAGCGACGGCTCCCAGGTAAGCCCACTGAAACCTAGATCAAGGCCTCCTCTTCGTGCTTAATTATCACCAGGCCTCTCTGGCTACACAGCCAAGCTTGTAAATGAGTGTGACCCCTGCAGAAGCTGACACAGCCAGTATGTTCTTTAGTAAGCTATCTGAGCTGTGTTTTCTCCTTATGAGCCTATTTCATCCAGAGTCTTAGTGGTGAGAATTGTTTTTAAGCACTAGAACTATTAGATATTTGCTGAGAAATTATTAAAGGAAACTGTATATGGTCTTTTAGCAGTTTGATTGACTTTGATAGGAGTGGTGGGGACTTTGATTATCTCTGCCCACTTCTTACCATTACTACTTAAATTGTCCTTGAAGCATTTAAAGTCACGACACTGCCACTGTCTTTAGTCATCGATTGACCCTTGCAGCCTGCAATGGGGCTTTATTAAGATTGGGAGAACACGTCTGAGCACAGTGTGGAGCAGAGGATGACAGAGGAGCCAGTGTGAGTTTGAGTTTCATCGTAAACCATACGTAACTAAAGGATAAATGTTCCTGCTACTTCTCCATCCAGAAGAGACTCTGTGACTCTGTGAAGGAACAGCCTTCATCCCTATACCAACCTCTGCTACTCAGCTAGATAGACAGGGTGTCACAAAAGTAAAACAAAAGCCCCTCCCCCCAAAAAAACCACAGAAGTCCACAGAAACCCCATTTTCCACAGATCCCACCACTTAGAGTTGACAGGCTAACCCTGTCATTCACTGGTGTGCAAAGATCACCAGCCAGGTGAACCTGGAAGATAAACATCCTATGGATTGACGCTTTTCCTGTTCGTTATTTTTTAACCTTCAAATACTGCTAAAACAACACCTTCAGAAGCTCTTTTTTCTTTTCCAAAATTTAAACAAATCCAAGATCTACTCATTCTTTCAAAAATACCCTTTAAAGCTGTTCCCTCTCTACCCAAGGCAACTACCCTAATAAAAACGCTGTGTTTTTTTTTTTTTCTGGATCACAGTGCTCTTGATGGTGTCATTTCTTATCGCCCCAGTTCCCTGGCTTCCAGCCCTTCTAAGCCAGCATCCTTTTGTTTCCTTGGGATAAAAATTCAACACTATTAGGCAGAATTTCAGACTCACCCCTAGGAAAATTCAGGTCCCCTACCCTCTCTGTGATAGAAATCTTAAGTATTTCCATCATTTGATTCAGATGCCTGGCTCCTCCTTGCCCTCCCCACTTCTGACCAGGAATTCCCTCCTCCTACAGTTCTTTGTGCACGTTCCTTCCACTCCTGGACTCAGCTGACTTCTCTCAGATTGCCTGCTTATAGCAGCAGTCACCCATTCTAATTTTCTGACTTATTTATTGTTGGTTTCACCAAGCCTGCGAGTCTTCTACTGCCTCTTTCAATGTCCCTATGCCTTTAGCACTTAGTACAGTGCCAGACACCTAGTAGGTCCCTAGGAAGTGACAGATTTGGGACCTGGTGCCCCTTCTTTGGATACGCTGAGATTTGTAGGTATTCCCTCCAAGTCCTGAATCTCATACATGATTCACAGCTGTCTGTGGATACTCTGGGGTACTGGTGGTCACTCCTGGGAATTATGCCCATCCTTCAACATCTAAGAAGCAGGAGTCCTGGAACAAGCGAGGACCCTGATTACCATGCCTCTTACAGGCTGATCAACTTCTTTTTCGCTCCCTCACATAAAACTCTTACTAACAGTTTTTCCTGAGCCAAATAATATTCTGGCCATGGCCATGTTATCAAACTGAAACCGAGTCTGCCTGCAGCCTGCCAAGTAGCTTTCATGGGCAGTTTGTGTTTAAAGGAGAGGGAAATGTAAATTCATCAGAGGACCGGACTGTTGCTGTTTGGCAGTGGGTGGAGAGGCTAGACTCGAAGGAGCAGAGTATGGTTTGTCAGCTCAAAGAATGAGGGGGTGTGTGCCAAATGGGCTCTTAACACAACTGACGTTTCTAGTTTGTTCTAAGAATGAATTTCCTCTACCCTCAGACCAAGGGCCTAAGAGCCAACACCAGTGTTCACCTCAGATTCCCTCTTGCTGCCTGTAAACACAGCAGGAACGCAAGGCCCACACTTCTTGAATCCCACAGCTTATATGGAGTAAAGAGTCTTAGCTTTCCAAACAAGTTCCAGATCCTGGCAGAGAAGGGGAGAGGCTACTCTAGGGGAGAGTCACACACTCCTCCTCTACTACTACTGGCAGAATCTAAAACAATTCCACTTCATTGATTCTTCCAAGGGAACCAGTAGGATGCTTGCTATATCTAGAGTCAAATGCTGATGTCACTATCCGCCCCTAAACAAAGGGACAAGTTGCTTAACCCTTCAAGCTTCAGTTTATAGGTTCCCTGTATGTGACCTATAAAGAAACAACACAGCCTGCCTCGCAGTTTATTGGTGGTAGCAGGGAACAGACTTGGGTACCACTTGACTTGTGCGGAGCACAGGTCTATGCCACAGTAAGTGGTAGTCCCGATGAAGGTACAAACAGACTAATCTGCTTTTATGGTCATGACAGTAGAGGAGATCCCTCATGCTGGATGTGACTTTCTGTAGAGCTTAGAAACAAAGCCAGCAGCTGGAAAGACAGCTTTATGCTGGCCAGCTCCCCGACGTCTCAAAAGCGGCATTTATCCAATGTGAGGATCCATACAAGCTACATGGAAAACTTGAATGCTACCCAAATCAACCTGTAGAATAAACAATCCTCTAGTCCTTCTAGAACTTTCTGTTACTATGAAAATATACCGCATCTGTCCTGTGTCTCCAACCATGCGTCTCCAAAATCTCTGGTTACAGTGTCCAAGTAGTTAAATATTATACTTGGTTTTACATATTTTTTAAAAATGTAAAATTCACATATCATTAATCCACACAAGTAGGTGGTGGAGGCAGGAAAATTAAAAGTTCAAGGCCACGCCTGAACTGGGACAAGCTTTGGCCACATGAAACAAGAGATCTTTTCTCAAGCAAATTATTTTACTTACCTATTTTTGATGTGGTTTTACTGTGCATCCCATACAGGCCTCCCTTGAACTGATATCCCTTTCTCCTTGTCCTCCTCAGTGTTGGGGTTTTCGGCCTGATACATCATGGCCAGCTCCATAGTTCATATTGAAATGTAAATATTCACTCATGCTTCCATATTGTACATTTCAGCTCTGACATTTATAGTGTTCCTGCCCCAGTAAAACCAAGGAGGAAGGTCTAAATAATCATAACTTTGCTTTTTAATGTGAGGATTTTATGGACGCCAGGTTGGTGTCACAGGCTCTCTTTCATTCTAGTAACATAAAGCAAACCCTCAAAAAAAAAAAAAAAAACTTGTCTTTCCACTTTCCAGATGCAGAACAAAAGGCCTGTGAAGTTTAACTAAGTCTGCCTAGAGCTCTGAGCTTTTCGGTGGGATTGAGACTATTCAGTCATGTGCGTTCACTGTCCCCAGATATCTCTAGGGTAGGCTGGTGGCAGAGCCTGAGGTATGCTGTCCAGACAGCTGGTGAAAGACGCCAATCGTTTCTAAATTTAATGAGACACAGAAGGCCCTGGATGTGAAGAGACAACTTAGTCCCAGGACATAGTGACAAGCTCTGTAGGAGTGTTGCAAGTGATCAGAGGCCTGGCCAGTCTTTGGAGAGGCCCAGGTCTGTGGTAGACACTTGAAACACAACAGGACAAAAGGCTAACTGTGTTTCATGGGCAAATGGTGCATCTAATAATGGGTTTCCAGAACTCATCAGGAGGACGTGAATAGTAGAAGCAGCAATACTCCCAGTCGCTTGCAGGGAAGACAGAGGGTGACTGTGCAGTCCTTTCTGCCATGAAAGCATGAAGCTGGCCCAGCCCATATGGGCTCTGCCATGGATGCTGCATAACTCCATGGGTGCAGACAGAGCAGGTATGCCTAGTGTCTTGCTTCAAGCATAACTGTGCATCAAGCACTAGGGCTACCTCGAGACCACGAGGAAGGAGAGGGACGCACATGCCATTAGAGCCTGGTAGATGTTCAGAGACCTTCACTGCAGTCCACTTAACTTACAGATGACTCCACTGACATCTGGCAAGAAGAGCCACACCAGAATGTCAGAATCAGGTCTTAAACCAAGTAAGAGCACAAGCCATTTTTTTCAATGCATCCTCACACCTGGAACTGCTCATCAACCCTGAATGGTTGCTTCATGCTGATGGATTCACATAAATGCACTGAGCGTTTCTGTTCTACTCTATATATGCAGATATGGAAGGGTTTTTTTTTGCCTTAATTGTTATTCAATTAGGACATGATAGATCCACAAGTCCATAGCTGATGATCATCCTGTCCTCTCCCACCTGGCTGGGGCTGGCTTTGTTGTAATCAGAACCCTCTGTCATGATGTGGCTTGTTTTTTTTCTGCCCATTTTCTCTCTCCCCCGTGTCTTTATGTCCTCCTTCAACCATGGAGAAGGCACAAAGGTTCACAGTCAAGGGCTGGGACCTGGCATCCTCTCCACTCTTACTCACTGCCTCCTCATTCTGGCTGCTGCACTGTGGAAAGTTCCCTAGAGACACTGAGTGCAACAGGGAAGTTAGGAACCATGGCTAAGGCATAGCTCTGTACATATGTGTCAGGTCTTAAGAACTTACATAAATTGACCACTTGGTTGTCATGATGACTCCATTAGGCAGTAGATCCATGCACACTTAGGAGTTGAAGAAACTGAGGCACAGACACACAAAGAGACTCTCCCAGGTCCCAGAGCTGGGATATTCTAGAACTGACATTTGAACCGGTGTCTTTCCTGGAGCAAACATCAGTTTCCAGATTTGACAGGGGATATGGTTTCTCTTCTATTCAATAATTAAAATGATTCCTTAGAACATCAAGCACGATGGAGATTTCAATACTATAGTTAGCTGTAAACACCATTAACTGTGTGTGGGTTTCTTGGCTAAAGAGATGGGGGGTCTAAAGAGACTGCAATATGGCTTCTATATAAGCACAGAGAGGAAGGCAGTTTTAGTGAAGGATGCACAGTCCTCTTGGTGGATCTTTTACTTTAGCAGGTAAAGTAATGTCTTGTGTATTTGGAATCAAACATACTCAGTTGGTCTGGTTCCTAGTAACACCCACAGAGTAGTATTCTCAGATTTGATACTCAACTACATTGGCTCTTCTATTCTCAAATTAGTCAGCACAGTTAGCAAGGATATCCTTACTGTTAGTTGGTCAGCAAGTGCTGAGTATCCAGAAGTTCCAGAGAGGCTGCATTCAGAGAGAACAGCACAAAAGTGTGAGGCAAGGCAAGCTGGGGAGGAGGGCAAGGTCTGGGCTGGTTTACTTGAGTAGAGTGAAGGACACACATACAACAAGAGCTGGGGATAGAAATGTCTGAGATCCACATGGAAGCTCTGGAGTGCTAGCCCACATGCTTGCCTTGCTTTGAAGGCTAAACTGTCTTAGCAGGTGGCTGCCATATTTTAAAGGCAGATTTAGCCACAGAAAGTGCCAGATGAACAAACGAGGAGAAGGAGAGAGAGGGGAAATCTTGAGAAAGTAAGACCAGTACCTTATGTTCCCACCTTCCACAGTGAGGCCTCCGGGACTTGAAATTACCGGAGTATATTCCAGTTAGCTCTAATACACCCTCTGCTGCAAACCTTGCTTCTCAGCCAATTCTGGCCCTTGTAGTGCTGAGGTCTGCATGCCTTGTGAGGCTGGAGGCCAAATGCATTATAGTCCCAGGCCAAGGATCCAGGAAATTGGGGTCAATTTCCTACTCCCCTGTGGGCCCAGCAGGATCATGGGGCTTAGAGCTTGGGGCTCCAAAAGGGGGAGTCCAAGTTCTCTAGACTCCCATGAAGCTGCAGAAGTTTGCCACAAACCCACACCAAGCCTCTTAAAGTTTCCCCCTAACTGCAAGCTCAGATGGGCCATATTCTCCCATGGGTAAGGGGGTTCTCTTGCAATAGTGACCACCTTCTGCTGGCTGGGGAGAGACCTCATGAGAGACCCCACTTTCTTCTCAGTTCTGACTCCATGCAGCTGTTTTTTTTTTTAAGACGAGGCAGCTTAGCCCATATCAGCCTTTCACATTTTCTCTCACAGACACTCACTGTTTATGCCCTCATTCATCTGTTTATTCATTTATGCCTTTTATTTTTCTGGCTATTTATTCATTTATTTCCTGTTTACTTAAAAACGACTTCTCCATATTCATTCCATCTTTCATTAATCAACAAGTCTTGAGTGAACAAAAATAACTACAGAGAGTAAAGGGATATACTGAGTGGCCTACATTAATAAAAGGCATTCAGGATGCAGGGATGAGCCGAGGAGTATCTGGTTCCCTGCAGAGCCTCTTGCTTCCTTGGGGGGGATGATAGTTATCCACCTACCTCCCATAGTGAGAGCTGGCATCAAAGACCCATGCCTCCTTCACTCTGCTCTCCGTTACTCCCCCCTCAGGCCACAGAACAGAGTCACACCTGCCTTGGCCATGCTCACTGCCCGGGCTTGCATCTGCACAAGAACTTCTCTCTTTCGGGAATGAACTTCCCTTCCCTTTCTGCCTTCTCTGATCCCCATCCAACTCTGGTCTGATACAGTCTTGGATGCTGAGTGGGGCTTAGAGAAAGGCCTGTATTTTCACACTGTGCTCTCCTGCTTGCTTATAGAAGGCTGAGGAAGAACCCGTTTCTTAGGGTAAAGAACTTAGAATAGCGATACATATGACCTCCCCTGAACCTGTGGGGGCCATTGTCGCTGGAAGTTCCTTGGAAGAGAAAGCTTCTCACCCAGGCTGCTTTCTCATTGTCTACAAAGAAGGAAACTGTGGCTCATTTGTAGCTTCCTTTTTATGACCCCATCCCCGCCACTACATCTTACTGTCTGTATCAGTAGGTTAGCTTATGGGTTCCCAACTTCTCAATAGAAACAACAGCGGTCATAAAACAATTCTTGGTCATAATTATTCCAATTGGAATTTCCCAATAACCTAAGAATTAGGAGACCTGGGAGTTAGACAGTCTGGGAAGACCAGAGAAAGTCTCTCAATCTGAAAATACGAGCAATACCCATTTCAAGATGCCTGAGATTCAGCTATTTGGTAACAAGCTACTTTGGAACACTTGTTAAAGCTGTGGGGAAATGACAAATCGTTTCATCTTTCCTTCTGAGAGGCATGTCCTTTGAGCAGCTGCAGTCAGTCACATCCTAAGTATGTTTCTCTGGTTTTCAGGGCCGTGGGAGCAACATCATTCACTGCCGCAAAGACGGCACTTGGAGCGGCTCCTTCCATGTCTGCAGAGAGATGCAAGGCCAGTGCTTGGCCCCAAACCAGCTCAACAGTAACCTCAAATTGCAGTGTCCTGATGGCTATGCCATAGGTAAGATGAGTGTGCTGGGGAAACAGTGGCATGTGTGTGTCCATCCCGTTGTGTGTCTGAGCGTATATCCATAGGAAACCTGTCTCTGTGAGGGAGACAGGGAAGAATGAAGGAGAACTCTGTCCTCCCACCAAGGAACTCAAGAGTAGGGATCCAGATCGTCTATATATTGACACCATATGGTGACAGGATGTGCACAGAAAGGCTCTCCATTACCAAGGAGAACACAGAAGTGCCCAGGGGAAAGGATGCATCTCACAGATTTGCTAGACCTCGTCAGGTAGTCTAGGAAGGAGAAACTGAAACCAAGTGATCAATGAGCAGGAAGTATGACTCCATATACAATGCACAGTGGTGTTTTCATTATGAATTTAAAAAATGTAACCTATGCGTCACCCAAGAGCATCTGGTACTGGTCAAACTCTGGTCCCCAAAAGGGCATCAGGAATGATCCTTTTAACAAACATTAGCAGATGAGAGAATAAAACCTCAAATGGACAGTGGAATTCACCCCAAGTCCTGAGGTTTGACCGATTTGAAAGCCACACCTCTCTCCTCAGCATCCTGGAGAATAAATGGCATTTTCAATGTGTGTCTGTGCCTATGTGTGTGTGTGTTCAGCCAGCTTGTTATGTTGTTAATGCTTACAGTGAATAATGGCCTGGGGTTTGCTTAGTAGAACCCAGGCTCTGGGACAGACTCATTTATTATCAGGTGCACTGCTGCCTCTGGGGAAACTCAGAACACATAGAAACTGACCTAATATAAGGGCAATGATGCTGACCTCTTGAGATGATTCCCTAATTGACTGCACTGAACCCTCCAGGGAACTGAACGTCCTTCCTCAGGGCCAATGTGATTTATGGGAGGATTGCCAGAGCTGTCTAGTGCAGAAGGTCGGGTAAGCAAGTCGGCAGCAAGTCCTCTACTAGGCTAGGCATGCTGAGCCTTGTCACTGCACATCTACAAGCAAGGCCTACGGCTGACAGAGAAGGGGCTTAGGGGATGTCCACTTCTTTCTGAAGATGAAAACACAGAAAAACAGATAGTGGAATTTGTTGTCATCTGAACTTAGAGCCAGAGCCAGCATTGTTTGTGGTGCTAGCTCCTGCCAGTGGTGAAAGATGGCGAGGCACATGGTAGCTCTCCTCTGATCAAGATCTTAGAGAACTACCGAAAGACCCTGACCAGGAGAATTATGGAGAAATTCAGGGCTTTCTGGGGTCTACTACATAATCATTATAGACATTTGGGGTGAATGTCTCCATGGTTTGCAACACTGGCTGCTGTATCACAAAGCCAAGCCTTCCTCTTCTCCATTATTTCTGAGCTTGTCTCTGCACACTTCTGCCTGAGAACAGTCTATAGATAGAGAAAAGGGTGTATAGTGATAGTCATTCACCCAGAGGGGGCTTTTATACAGCCAAATAGGAAGCAAAGGAAATTTCTGTGTTACCAGTACTGTACTGTCTTCCTGTCTCTTTAAATTCTTGTCCCATGGTACTTGGATGCTGATCCTCTGGATGTAGTAATCCAGGATGGTCAGTGAGTAAGTGAGGGCCTCTTATGGAAAATTAGAGAGAGAAAGGGGGAACATGAGGACCCTGACAGAGACAGAGAAAGAAGGGGGCGAGTTTCCCCTCTTCTGTTCCTTGCTTTCTAATGGCTGTCATCTAGTTCCAGAAAGAATCCTACTCAGGAATCCCCTTTCTCTATGGAGAGGGGTTTGGTTAGAAACCTTGTATTAGGGCAACGTAGGTGCCAAATTTGTGGCTGAAGACCCACTAGGAGTCACTCTAGTGACTTGGGAGCCTATGTGGCAGCCATGGGTTCCAGGGGCAGTCACTCCATCCCTGGGAGGGAGAGGCAAGTGCCTGGTGAAATCACCAGCCTGTGATGGTGCCAGCTGCCGCACATATGTCACGACACTGCAGTCTTATCCTGAGAGCCAGAGCTTGGCGTGGGAGAGGGGTCAGCAAGAAAGGACAGAAGAAACGGAAGGAGGGAGAGAGAGACAATGTCAGAGAACAACCAGTTTTTCCTCTTCCCATCATGCTTTGTTCCGCCTCTCTGGGGACACACTGCCTTTGTCTATTACCCAGATGAAACATCTTTTGTTTTTCCAAGGCAACTTTTTTTCATTACAGCTTCATTTCATCTCTGTGCCCTCAAAACTCCTTTAGAGTCGGTCTCATGAGAACTTAGGGTGTGCCACAGAATCTCTCTTACAGTTTAGTGACATCTGTCCCCTTCTCATTAGTCATCTTTCTTTAAAAACAAAAATCTTCTGTGTCTTCATTTCTTGTTTTTCATGTGGTTCTCCATTGGATTCTTCACCTCTCCATTGCAACCTTTCTGTCTTCTCCCTTTGTGGCTATAGCTTACTCATCACTGGTCCTGAGAGTGAGAACCTCTGCATTTTAAGCTTAGAAACATGGCCTCTGTGTCTCTTGACTCCCCAGCCTACGAAACGCATGTGATAACACCTCTATTGCTATGGTGATGGATTCTCAGAAAATTAGAATGGCATAAGGAAGTCACCTGGCAAGAAGAAGAACATCTGTCCTTCTGGACTCAGTCTGCCTAGGTTATGGTGCAACTATTCTGAGCACGACTTTAAATCTGCAGCCCCAGTTGCCCCTTGCTTAAATTCATGCATCTTTTAGACTAAGGATTATATGATATGGTAACTAGAAGGGCACGGGATAAGCTGTGTGTGTGTGTGTGTGTGTGTGTGTGTGTGTGTGATGTGTGCACGTGTGTGTATACATAGATGTATCTCTAAATGGATGTTTAGAACAGCTATTTGGAAAGGATTCTTACTAGAAAGATTTGGCTCACTCTTTCCACATGGAGTGGTATTCAAAATTTGAACACCATGGCAGAAGAATGACCTCTTTGGACCTGGTCAAATTCTAACTGGCTGGAGTCAAGGGGACATTCCATGAAACAGGCTTAATTTTTAGGAGACCTCAGAGTGTATGGAGGTAAAGCAGAGACTGATGGGGCAAATTATAGCCAACTCAAGCATCTCTAGCCAGAAAGTCTTTAGAAACCTCCACACTAAAGCCTACTGTGGCTGTAAATGGCCGACTTCTGGCTTGATTCCCTCATTATCTTGTCACCTGTCTGGATCATCCTTCGCACACTCCCTCATCTAGTCTGCCTCGTTTCCTCCATCATAAGGTGCTCAACACCTGCCTATTCCTCACCATGTCTGTCACTCCTTCACCCATCATTTTCCCCATGTGTTCACTCAATCTTCTCCTTGCTAGTTGATGCAATCATTTCTTCATGGTTTCTTTCACTAAGTTCACACAACTTATTCCTTGATTGCCTACAGTCTGCTATGTAAAGTTACAGGCTCCAGACATAGATAGAAGGGGGAACAAGGGCAGGGATGCCCTTACTGAGTGACAATCTAAGAAGAAAAAAAGCCACTGATAATGCAATCACTAGGCAAATGGTAGGTGGTAAGAGAGCAAATACCACTGAGAGCCTGTGAATGGCTTGATTGTCTTTGAGCAAGTGGCACTCGTGCTAAGGTCTGGGCATCATTAGTGGCTTGCTGGTAGAAGGAAAGTGGAAAGATGCGGAGTGGACAGGGCTAAACATTCACCAGGAGAAGCATGGGGTGTAAGACCATGCAGCTGCATCTTTCAGTTCTCTCTAGGTCAGATTCACAGAACTTTCTCAGTGCTGCACGCGGGGCTATGCTCAGAGATGAGCCAATAGTGGCGTATCTTTCCTAGGGTACCACTAACACAGCAGGGAGCAACACTGGGGTGAGATCACCAGTGCCCAGCAGTGTTATTCAGTGTAGTAGGCATTCGTCAGAGTGTGCTTTACCAGAGTGATGGTAGACGGCATGGGGCATTTGAGTTGGGTCTTGACAAGCTGATAGGATTTAGTCATAGAAAGAAAATTTGGGACAACTCAGGGAGATAGGGAAGATAGTATTAAGTACAGGTCAGTTCTATGCATCAAAATGTCAGGTGGTAAAGAGATTGACAATGTGGCTGGAAGAGGTATTGAATGTTGGAAAAATGGAGTTGCAAAAAGCAGTCTCTGCCCTGGGCATGTTGGCCACCGGTGTTTGGAGATATGGCTTAGCCATTACTTTACCTTGTGCTTCCTCTCAGGGTCAGAGTGTGCCACCTCGTGCCTGGATCACAACAGTGAGTCCATCATCCTGCCAGTGAATGTGACGGCGCGTGACATTCCCCACTGGATGAACCCCCCACGAGTAGAGGTGAGTGACTAGGGCCACCTGCTTGAGGCTAAGGAAAAAGGAACCGCCATTGCTGAGCTCTGTGGCTTGGCTCCACTCAAGTCCATCCTCTGTGGATTGGACCTCATTCAATCACATCTATTTTATGGGGGACTTGTTCACAACAGTTTTTCACTCTATAATTTTTTAGTACACCTCATCAGTTTCTTTCCTAAAAACCTTGTATTTTTTTTCTCTTCAAGTTTTCTTCAACAAGTGCCTAGAATAGTAGTGGGGAAAATGAGGCCAGCACACATAGGTTGAGGGCACAGAGCTGGGTCCCAGCCTAGTGTCTAGTGTCTGCCTGTATAGCCCATACTCCGCAGGACAGGGCTCTTTTTCATCTCTAGCACCTTCCATGTAATTGTACTTTATGCTCCCTCAGTCTCTTCCATCTTTCTCCATGCGTTATTTCCTCGGTGGAATGCAATAAAAATGGGATATTCAGGACAGTGAACTAACGCTGCCTGATGTTTATGGAGTGCACACAGTATTCAGGCACCTGGAGCTCTGCATGCAGCATGACTTGAACCTTAGCCCATAGTCTGTACTCATGGATACTGCTATCTCAGGTGTCCCAGATAGATCAGACCTGATGCTACTCTAAGCTTCCCATGATACTGGGACGGGGAGTCTGGCTTGTGGCCAGATGATAGTAGATGTCCCTGAGTGGTATCACTGTCAAGTTGACCTTGAGGGTAGCCATTGGTTTTTCATGTGACCTGACCAGTTGAGGGCTGCAAGGATAATTTGGGACCCCACTCTCATATTCCAAGAGAGCACAGTTTGGAGGTTTTCATGGGTCCATTTGAGCACTGACTCTTCATCTTGAAGAAGCAAATGGGGAAACAGGAGCAGAGGGTGGGCAGGGAAGTCTCAGCTGTATCTCTATCCAGTAGCCTTGCTGCCTGGGATTCTGGGAGCCGCTGCCTGTCTGCCTCCTGCAGATGGAGATCCAGATAGCTTGGTAGAACCTGATACAAGGTGTACTGTTTCTTAAATGAGCTGAGGGGATAGTTTCTTCAAGGGCTTACTCAGCATTCTAGGCATGGGGACTCGGCCCAACCCCTCCGGTGCCAAGTGCCAGTGTCCACCTTCCCTCTTTCCCCTGCCTCTTTCTCTGCTCCTCCCTTCTCTGCCTTTACTTTCATCTTTACCATTTGGTTTCCTTTAATCCAGTTTCTGCTTTTAAACACTGTTTCTATCTCTTTTGCCATCTCTTTCATCAGGTTCAGCCTTTCCTCCTACGCTTGCCTCACCCCAGTCTCTCTCTCTCTCTCACATTTTCTTATTCCTTAATTCTCATTTTCTTATTCCTTAATCTTAGGCTCCTCCTCTGCCATATTACCCATTCTTAGCCAAATCAATAAAGGGATTCTCCCTAATGCCCCAGTGTGCATGACTTAGCTGAACACAGGCAGCATTAGTCATAGAGCCTGTTTGCATGTAAGACTTCCCAGTCAGCCTAAACCCCTGAGTCTAGGCTCGAGAAACAGGATTGTAGTCTGAGAAACAGTTCAAAGTCACATAGCAAGGAAGCATGACCTACCATTTAGGACTTCAGATTGGTAGCATCTCTCACCTCTTCCCCTCTACTACCTCCCACATGCCCCCTTTAAACAGAGGAGCATCACCCCATACTAGAGACTTCCCTGCCACGTTAATACCAAAGGTCTTCTTGGCTTGGCTCAGCTCCTATCTTTTCCTCTCTGAAATCTTGGCACTAAAGCGTTCAGTTGAGTTGTAATTCATACTAAAGTAAATCCTGGGATTTGGAAGCTCAGTAACTGCCCCTCCTTGAGTTGCCCACCAGCTTGCTGGTCACAGTTCCACCCTCTCCCCTGGTTTGCCTTCTTTTATTGATGCTGGACTACCAAGAGAGCCGTAATGAGTTTCAGACGTCCGTCAGTCTCTGGAGGCCTCATTATACATGAAGAAAAAAAATGCAGGGAAAGGGAGGGGGCGAAGGGCATAGATTGATGGCTTTCAGGAATCAGCCAGCAAAGCTGGCCTCTGCTGTTCCTGGGCCCTGAGCAGTGAAAGTTTCAGAAAGAAGACTGGTGCAGGCATTTTCAGGCCCAGGGAGGCTTTGGGTGGCTCTTCTAAGAAATGACTCCATTCTCCAAAGTGAGGACGATGGTGAAAAATGTCGCTCTGCTCCTGCTAAGCCACCTTTGCTTTAGGGCAAGAGTATGACAGACCAGAGCTGACATTTGATGCATACCTGCTGTGTCCCCATGTATGCATTCCCATCCTCTACTGCATATACTCACTCACAACCTCCCACCCCGCTCATTCATATGCATCCCTATGAAGTATATGGATTTAGACTTCTGTTGTTTCGGGGGAGAAAATTAAATCTCAGAGAAGGCCCTCACCCAATTTATTTAACCACTCCTGCAGCCCCTGTGGAATATAGAATAACAACAAAGGCAAGGGGTTTATTGATTTCCTGCAAGGGATGTGCTAGCCAACCCTTAATAAGAAGGTTTGTAGGCATGTGTACACTCATGCACCCAGAGACAAATGAGCTCTGATATTTGGCATTTACCAAATATCTCCGGTGTAAACACGTTTTTGTAGGATGTCAAGGTTTCTCAGTGCCCATCCCTGACTACCAAGTTGAAAAGACACAAGCACTTGTGATCCTCTGCATCTCTTGCATCCCGTGTGCAATAGTAAACAGTAAATAGTCCCTTAAGCTTACTTCAGTTAGGCATCTTGTCACAGACAGGAGAAAAACAACTAATAAAACTTGGTACCTTACCCTTCTGTCTCATGTTCTGGGACAAATGTTATTGTTTTTCTAGGCTACAATTTTCCTATTATTGAAATGAGATCTAGGCATTGGTCATGTGCTCAAAGTTCAAAACCACATAGAACCAGGTAGGTGGGATGAATAGGGGTGCTAGGTGAATGTATTGTTATCTATGTTATTTTACACACAGAAGCATATTAATTTTGAAATCGGGACTGTTTACTAGACAGTTCAGAGACTTAAAAGATTGCAAAAAATGGAACAGATACTCGTGTACCTGCCCAACATAGACGAAAACTTAGTGCAGTGAAAGTTCCTTCGTTTTTCTTGATGTGAAGTCGGATGTTTCTATCAAGCACAAGGCTTGTTAAGTTCATGAAACCACTACTATATCAAAATATGAAACTTTTCAGATAGCCATGAGACCATCAGTTCCCCTGGCAAAGTAATGTCTCTAGACACCAAGACAAGGAGCGTTTAAGTATCTATCAGTATTCATTAGTGGTACTTATCTTTAAACTTAATTGGAATCATAGTCTTATGATTTCCATACATGAGCATATTTTAACTTCTATGAAGAACAGGACTATGATTTTCTTCTTTTAGAGCTCTTTTCCATTTCAATAACCCTTGTCACAAATACCATAGACTCTTCAGAGACAGAAGTCTGGCAGACTCTTCCTCTAATTGAAAAAGTGAGGTGATTCACAGTCAATGATAGATGGAAATGCGTCTAGCTTAGCATTGGATTTGCTGTAGGAAATGCTAGTAATTAGAGGAAGTATGAAAAACATCATTGTCATCATAAAAATTTGTATGATGTATGTGTGTGGCATGTGTCAACATGTGTTTGTGAAAGTCAAAAAACAGTGTTGTGAACTCTGTTCTCTCCTTCCACCTTAATACAGACTTTGAAGATCGAACTTGGGTTGTCAGTTTCTTACAGCAAGCATGTTGCCCTGTAATTATCCAACTAGCCTCCTCCCATGCCCCACTGACATTGTTTTTAAAAACTTTTCCCACATTGGGGTTGATTCTAGCCAAACACAGCAATGTGTAAATATGGCATCATGTGGCCACATTTTTATGTGTGTGTGCGTAATAAATCTGGAGTTTTGTTAAGGTTGAAATATTCCCCCTCTTTGTTTTGAATATTGGCAACTAATTTATACTTTCTAAAGTACTAGTATGCCAACAGAAGCATTTCTATGGCTTGTGCAGCTGGAAGCTGCTGGCCTACAACCATTTATCTAGAATTATGGAAGATTCTTCCCCATTCCATCTTGACAAGGGTCTCTGGTGTACACCACCTCTTTCTAGGGCTCCCAGGAATGTTACATAATCAATGATGTATCTCCTGTTCTCACAAGTGTCTAATCACGCCAGGTGACTGAGCCTTTGGCCTTTACAATTATTTCCAGAAAAGGAGTGGAGAGAAGAAAGAAAGGAGTAGAAAAAAGAAAAGGAAGGAAACTAAGGAAAGAAAAATGACCATTTATGGACTAAGTATAATATTATGCAGTTTGTTATTGTACTATCATCTACATCATTTGTCTCCATTATACCCCAGTAAGGTAAATGTTGTCATTATCTTACAGGTTGAGTTTATAGTCAGAAACATTGCCATTGCCCAACTTATGTAAGCTATGTGGTTGGATTAGCTACAGTAGTTCCATTCTGAAGCACATCCAAGGTGTACATCTGAAAATAAAACTATGTAATTCATGTAGACAAAGGATACAGAATTTATTTCCTCTAAGAATGAAAGAAGCATGGTGGGAAACCCTGCCTGGGTCTTAAAGTCAGAGGTGATTAGTAAGTTTAGCCTATCTGATACAAAGATGAAAATACTAAGATCCCTGAATGGGAAGCCATACAAGGAGAAAGGCATCCACCCTCTCTTGACTTTCCATTTACTCATTGCCTCATTCACATATCCATTCATAAGACTGATGGTTTATTCCTTTGGACATTTAATATGTGTCAGTCTTGTGTTTCCGATTGCATGTATTCTTTAAACTTTAGGGATACAGATGAACACAGTGTTTGACAACAAAAGATGTAAACAATAGCACTAGTTGATAAGATTCACTCCTGGAAGGTCCTGCAAATCAAGGAAACAGGAGAAGTTGTCTGAGAAGGAATCCAGGAGAAAGATCTTGGCCCTGAGATGAGGAAGACCTTGTAAGGGTCTTTCGCACATGTCCTTGGTTCTGCTTTTGTTGTTGTTGTTGTTGTTGTCTTTGGTTTCTGGCCTTTATCTTTGGAACACTCTGCTCCTCCTACACTTGCCTCACAGCCTTTCCACTTTTCCAAACCTTGGGTCTTCTCCTCAGTCAAAAGAGGAAGATACTTTATTGTTATAATTTTAAGAGTTAAGAAACTTTTAAGAGTGGAGAATTTGAAGTCTAGCCCTTGGTATAAGACAGAAGTAGATTTACTTGTTGATGGAAGCTGCATATGTATGTGATTTGAACAATTTAATTTCAAATTGTCTCAGCTTCTAGAGTCAGAATAATAGCTTTCTCAGATTTGTGATGTATCAGTGAGATATTGTGGGCGCAGTGCTTGGAGAGTTTTTACTTAGGAGAGGGTTTTGTTCTGAGAACAAGGCTGATGGTGATGGTGGTGGTGAATGAGTTCTTAGTGACTCCACTAATATTTTTGTGGTGATTATGATGGTGGTGGTGGTGGTAGTGATGCTGTGAGGGTGAATACTGATTGCTAGTGATAATGGACAGATGTATTATTCACTTTTTGTCACTGTGAAAAACTTACAGGGGGAAATATTTACTTATGCCCATAGATTTGAAGGCTTCAGTCCATGGAAACCTGACTAACTTGACTAAAGACCTTCTGAACCCTCTGTGTTATGCTATGTATATACACATACACATACATACTGTATTATATACATCATGCTTTAATATATATATATCATGATGAGGATATCTGATGTCTCAAAACTTTTTTCCTGATCACACAGGGGGTAGAGGGAAATGAAGGGGGGAGGATGCGGGGACAAAATAAAGACCCTTTGAAGTCATGCCCTAGCCTCTACTTCCTCAAATCAGGACTTGCCTCCAAAGTTTTCACTACTTCCCAATAGTCCAATAAATAATTAACTTGCCAATGAATAGCTCATTGATATGTCAGATCATTCATGAATCAACCCTGTTTTAAAACCACATAAGCTGCTTAGCAAGAATTAAACCCAGAAGCTTTTGTTGGTTGCACTTCTCGTCTTGTTGATTTGTGATGAAGGTAATTTCATTCATGAAGATAAGAAAGTTCAATCTTTGCCCACCCCAAAGCAGAGAATGAAAGCCCTCTTATAAGAACTGATATGAAAGACTCTAGTTGGGTCGGATGTCTCACTGATGTTGAAAAGCCAAGGCTGGCATTTGAGGTCCCTCGCAGGTTCTCCCCATTCATGGTGCACACAGCTTGCCCTCTGCTTTTGCTCTCTCTGCCAGTCTTCGTTCTTGGTCTCATTGGCACACATAAGAATGGACCTGTGGCAAACAGGTGGGTATGCAGCCTTGAGTGGCAGTGGAAAGTTCAAAAGCTTGGAAAGTGCAGATAGTACAAAGGTTCTTTCTCTGAGCACACATCAGATAAACCCTAGTGGAGAGAACCTTGTACAGTCACACCAACACACACTTTTATAGGAGGACTAAATTAGCTCTCAAATAAGCAAGAGCAGCACAGGTATTAAGTGCCTGGTGGATTTCCTTGCTGTTTTCTTCAACCTTTACTAAATACTCTCCAATACCCCAGGTTTGGGATGTCAACAAACTTTTGGCTTCAGAGAAGACTGTCCTTGTAAACTTCCTCAGAGAAGGAAAGCATGTTGGCTTGCCCACTTTGGCCCCATGACTCAGAAGCAGTGGAGAGCCCTGACATCCCTTCCAGTGCTCTCCTTTAGATGGACTCTCTACTTGCCTCTGACACAGACAGAGGCACCTGAGACCTAGAACCACTCTCCGGAAGTTAGTGCTTTGTCCTAGAAACCATTCTTAGTATTTGTCCATCTTAATCTGTCATTATAGTGAGCATGGGATTTTTCAAGGACCCATTTCATATACATAGTACCCCACTTCATAGCAAAATTTTATAAGCAGCTCAAATTAAGATAGTGGCATACATGTTCTACTTCAAATTCCGTGCTTGCCCTGGTAGTGCAGGAGGAACACCAACACTCTGGAAGTTGAGGCAAGAGTACCTCGAAATTAAGTCAGCCTGGGCTATGTAACAAGATTCTTTCTTAGAAAAGAGGGTGGGTGTTGTGAAATCCTATGACTTCACTTATCAATAGAGACATCATGGGGCTATAGCTCAGTCTAGCTAGACACTGTGATTATTAAAACCTCTAGTATTCTTCATACACTCAAGAAGTAAGGAAGGTATGTGGAGAACATATTGTCCATTGAATAAAATGATTTCTACTTTGAAATGGATCCTTTCCTTCATTAAAAAATCTATTTGTTGAATATTCTATGAGTTCCAGGCACTGTCTCAGGCAAGGAGATCCAACCCATGAAGCTGAAACACAGCCGAATGGAGAAAAAAGTCACCCTTCTTAGTCTTAGGCTGGGGTCATGTGATTTTTTTCTGTCAGAAGCTTGCCAAGAAACTAATTACACTTTGGCTCCTGAAGAAGTCTGCCCTCAGGGAGAGGATAGGATGGTCACATGCATTTCCCACTCTCTGACTCATGTGACTGTTTCTTAATTAAATTAATCAACTGGCACTCAGCCAGCAGAGCAATCCCTGCCCATACATATACTTCCAGACCTCCACGACTGGCCGTGACATAGCTACCTCTTGCTGCATACCCAAGCATATGCTATTTCACTTTCATAAAGAAACAATTGTAATTCAGAATGAAGAGAAAGGCCTCTGTGGAAAGTCTAAAAGGAGTCTTTAGGAGTTTGATGATTATTCTAGTCTCCAAACCATGTCACCTTCTTGGTTTTGTTTATCTTTCATTGTTTATCAATGTTAAGAAGTATTGTCACCTTGGATTTTATGTAATAAGTTAACTTTAATCCTTTTTGGGACAGTTGGTTTTCAAATCCTGGCTTGTTCACTTAACAGCTATGGAGCTTAGGGAGTTTATACTACGATGACCCAAGATGAATGCCTACCTCACAGCATGCTAGCAATTAGCATAAATAAACACAGCAGTACATAAAGAATGCACTCAATATATCTTTGCTGTTATTATCATCATTGTAACTATTAGTACTAAAAGAGTACTGTGTGTGTGTGTGTGTGTGCATGTGTGCGTGTGTATGTGTGTTCTGCTGTGGTGGTTATGAGAAAAACTACAAAAGAAGGGAGATGTTTAGAGCATCCACAAAAAGTATTTTAGTAACGAAGAACCAATTCTCTAGAAAACAAGAGTGTACAGCGTCAGGGAGTTGTCAGTAGGCTCATGCGACATTGGCAGAACATGCTGGCAAGAAGGCCTTTTCTTTCCGAAAGCTCCCTCCGTTCCAGAGGCTAGCCCATTCCTTCAGCAGCCCCACTGCTCTCAGACTGGAGTGTGCATCAGCAGTGCAGACACTTGCTCTTCAGATGCAGGGGCACAGTCTCTGCCTTCAGAGACTCTGATTTAATAAATGCAGTACAGGGCTGAGGAGTCTTCCCTCAGTGGGGTTCTACAGTGATCTGATCGAAATGATCCTCCACTTGGACTTTCAGAGGGAGCTTCTACTGGGAGGAACTTGATTCCATACTTTTCACACATCTTTCTACTCTATATAGCTACAAAGAAAAAAAAGGTTTTTCTGCTCTTGCCTTCTTCACAATTCTGCTTCTCCTCAGCCATTATTCCTGCCAGGGAAATAAAGAACCATGACACATACAATGAACACAAGTATTATTTCAATCTTCAGGCCCCTGTTATTGCAAGTTCCTGGGCAACTTCTTCAGGTAAATACCAGGGTGAGGTCAGGACTTGGATAGTCCAAAAGAGGTGAGGTGATTTAATGTGGTGCCAGCAAACGTTGATTCCCTCCCCAGCCCAAACCCACCTGATCCCTGTCTCTCCATCTCTCTGCAGAGGATCGTCTGCACTGCTGGTCTCCAGTGGTATCCCCACCCTGCTCTGATCCACTGTGTCAAAGGCTGTGAGGTAAGTGACAGAAAGAGATCTCTCCACTTCAAACAAATACTTCCGACATTTGCTTTTGATGGATATATATGGTTTACTAGACCTACTAAGCACCGCATAATGCATTAATATGATTGTTACTGCTGACGCAGAAGTGTCATCATATTCTACAGATGACAGAATCCACAGGGAGATAGAAACATACTGGAAACAAGAAGAAAGTCGGGATAAAACAGCGCCGAGAGTTTGAGCCAGGAGTTTCTTTCTGAAAATCCTGTACCCTAATGTTATTGGAACACAGGGTTTAAGAAGATGCTCAGAGACATGATTGCTGTGCAAGCACGTGGACTTGAGTCCACATCCAGCACTCACACTGGGAAAAGCAGACATTATGGCGTATACTTATAATCTCAGCATCACGAGGTAGAGCAGTAGCAGTCTCAAAACTCTGAACCAGCCAGCCAGCCACACGGTACAGTGAGCTTGAGGGAGTAGAGCCAACCACATCCTCACAGCTCCATAGCCAGCCATCCCAGTCACACAGTACAGTGAGCTTCATGTGTAGTAAGAGATCCTGGCTCAACAAATAAGATAGAGAAGAATTTAAGAAACCACCTGACATCTACATCAAGGCAAACACACACATGCAAACATATGCATGTTTCCCTCCTCCTTATGCATATCTGTATACATGGCAACACAATACATGAATATAAGGCAGCATAAGTCATATTTATGTACATAAATAACATAGCAGCTATTTTAATAGCAATAGAACATTGAGCCTTTATAGTACTGCATGAGGTAATTTTTCTTTTAATTTCCATTTTACTGGTGACCATTACTTGTAGAAGAATTCTGTCTGTCTCTCACATCTTGGTTATTTGCTGTTTCTTCAGTCCCAGCACTAATCTGAACCATTTTGACTGAAACATTGAATTTAAGTGGAAGATCCTTTCTGACCCTGAAAGTTGTTGACTTCCCAATTAACCCGTTCCCTGGGCTTGGAATGATGGAAAGCTCTCTCTCTGTCTATTAGCAACACTTTAGGGATGGAGTCAATAGGTAGGCTCTTGGGATACAGCTGCTTTCTCAAGGAAAAGTTTTCACAGAAACCAGAGCCATTTCTCTTCTTCAGTCCTTGTCACTTCTTGAAAGGATGCAACACAGTGTCCCTACAAATGCATAGAAAGAAATATGTGCCCCTATTCTTCTCAGATGGAGTTGAGAAAGAGACTTACAACCACTTCCAGATAGGTATCAAAGCTCTTTAGTCTCAACAGTCCACCAAAGAGACTGTGGTAGAGGACCTCATTCATGTCCTTAAAAAATTGTGTGAACTAGAAATGCCCTACATAAAAAGGTCATCTAAACCCAATCATTTTTAAAGGATGGGGAAAGAGATTCGGGCAATTTTCTTCTGGAGAATTGATGGAATTCCCAGACTTAGGATGCTCCTAACATGGCCTAGTTCAACCTGATTACAGTATGAACAGGAAATTAGGGTCAGAAAGGGTTGGGGTACTCTGTACAGAATAATAGCCAATGAGTCAAAACATGAGTCCAGATTTTTGGATTGCCAATCTGCAGGTTTTTTCTTCTCTTTTGTCTATTACCAGCTCAAAACCGCTTCCTATAAGTGCCATAAAGTAATAGGGTCTTGCATTTCTTTCACTGTAGTTAGTGTATTGTCTCAGAACAGGCAGCATGGTAGCCTTTAAGGACTCTCATTCTTTCTAGCTTCAGTTAGAATAGCAAAATATGGCCATGGTCTTGCCACTGTTTGCTTCTGTCCATTTCTGGTGGATCGGTGCTGTGTTTTGGGAAAAGGCATCTTGAGTTACCTGAGTATTCACTTTGCTGAGCTGGCAGTCTGGCCATTCAGTGTGACAGCAGAATTTGATTCCTCCTTTGACTCAGCATTGAAGCCGAGAGACCCTCTGTCCCTGCCGAGCATTGAACCCTGACAGTGATGCTTATCACTTTTACCCCTGCAGGTACCTCTCATCCTCATCTGCTCTTCTTTGTTTAGTATCTGTGTCTTATCAGGAGATAGAAGGATGCTCAGAAGGAAAATAAATGCTGGGACCAGGAATGAGCTATCAATCTCCAAGTGTCCAAAGGAAATCAATACGTTTTCTAAAAAGGACGTCCAAGTCCCATCTTTCTGTTCACAACTATGTCCCAGCCAATTATATGCTCATTATGTGGTCAGTCACTATCTAAAGTTCTGGGTATACATAGTTTTGTGCCAGTTAACATAGCAGCTGTGTCACCTGTTACAGTCACCTATAACATCTTTTGACCCTCATATAGCCACCCATTAATCATTTTACTAAATATTTGCTGACTATATTGTTGATAAATATTTGCATAAGTTGCAAGACATCTTCATAGGAAATTCACGGCACAAAACCAAAAGATATACATCTAGTATGTGGAAAACTTATAGTGATAACAGAAGGCAAAGATGGAAGTCTAAGATTATGAACCATACTGTATTTAAAATGAGAATAAGAGCTGTGGAAGCATAGAGCATTCAGGGGTCACTAGAAATAGTTTAAATTTGAGTTAAGATAATTTTTGAGCTATATCAAAAAGGATGGATTTTGTTTGTCTGAATGCCCTATTATTCAGAGTATTAACTGGACATATGATAAATCTCTACACAGCAAGGTTTTCCATGCTGTCTTCCATCCCTAAAATTTTCCCTCTAACCCCACCTAGTAACTCCTATTTATGACTGTGATCTCCACTTAAATGTCTTCAATGTCATTGTTTCCAGGACCTTTTTATCTTAGACAGGATCAAATACTTTAGTTACTATAATAGCACCGAGTGACTATTTGATTAAAGACCTTTTCTTTCATAGATAAAATCTAGATGGATAGAGTAGATAGATAGATGGAAGAGTGAATGGATGGATGGATGGATGGATGGCTTGATAGATTAACTATTATAGCTACAGGAAATGACCGCTCAGGAAGAGACCACATGGAAAAAGCCAACTACTCCTTTTCCAACACAGTTTTCTCAGGAAGGGACTATGATTCACCTTCACAAATCTGTACACACATATGAGGAAGAACTCAAATGGAAAGGGCTTAGGCTCTGCTGTTGAATATAACTGTAGCAATGTGCTGACCATAGAACTTAATGACAGACTCATCCCTCAATTTGCAGCCCCACCTCTCTCTCTCTTCCTCTTTCTTCCTCCCNTCCCTCCCTCCCTCCCTCCCTCCCTCCCTCCCTCCCTCCCTCCCTCCCTCCCTCCCTCCCTCCCTCCCTCCCTTTCCCCCTTTCTCTGTACCCTAATTTGTCATGAAGAATGGCAGACACAAAGGCTGTATGGATACAAAAGCCAGTCATGCAACACAGCTTAGACTCCTTGTGAACTTGGGTCTCCTTAGAGTCAGCAAGTTACAAGGAACGGTGGTAGCAGGTGACTCATAGACAGTGTGCTGGGATGAGATTTGGACAAAAGATGACGTCCTTCCCACACCAGTGCCTTTAAAAAGCTTTTGAGGAAATTTGGAGAAACAGACGAACAGTGCTCATGTTTCCTAATATTAGAGACACACAACATACCATATTAAAAACTGGAGTGGCCCTCCATTGGTGTCATCAAAGAGACTCCTGGAATTTCCTCAGATCCCCAGGATTCAGATTAGCAGCAATTTTATTCTGTTTTCCCTCATTTTTGGAATAGCACAAGGTTTATAGAACTCATTGAAGAAAATAAATTAATGTGAACCGGAACATCATAGAATGGATAGGGGAACTGGGGAAACACAGCAGCAAATGAGTTTAGATTACAACTTTTTTTTTTCATTTCTTGCCAGTATGATTTTTGACCAAGTCATTTTGTTACCCTTACTCTCCAGGTGTGGGCCTACGAAGAGAGAATAATCATGCTGACCTCATATGTTTAGAGAAAGAGTAAAAAGAGTCCTGCCAAGGCTTCAGACACTGAGTTTATCTGTGTTCCTGTTAGAATACACACATTCTCCATCCTAATCCCTAATAATCTGTAATTTTTATATTTGCAATTCTGAAAGTTTACACCCAGATTCCTAATTTGTGTGTACACAATATACTAAATTAAAGAAATATAAAGCCAGAAATGCAAATTATTTTATCATGTCTTGAAGTAAATTGTACCTTCTATTTTAGAAAGAAAGAAGGGGTATATTTTATGCTTTAATTTTCATACTACAGCAAACAAAATATGCTTCTCAGTATAATCATACTCCAGCAGGGAAAATGTGGCCATAAAAATGTACCCAAAGGGGATTTGGGGGTTGACAGTCAAATTGGCTAATGCTGATTTGTAAGAAGAGAAACTGCCAGGCAATCAAAGAGGCCTCAGCGAAGGTCAGAGGGCAGTCCCCTTTTATGTCAGACAATAACAAAGCTTTGTTCAATTCCTGCTTCTCTTCCCTTTATAGCCATTCATGGGAGACAATTATTGTGATGCCATCAACAATCGAGCCTTCTGCAACTATGATGGTGGGGACTGTTGCACTTCCACAGTCAAGACCAAAAAGGTATGCCAACATTAGCCTCGTTCCCGCCAGCTTTGTGCCTCTAGCCTGCTGACCAAAGTCTCTTCTCCGGCCGTGATGCCTTGCCTCTGTGACTTGCTTAGCGTCCATCTTCAGGCTTCCCGTTACTCTAGCTTTTATTCCTTTAGTTAAGAGTGAAGCTACTGTCATTGTCTGGATGCTGGATGGTCTTTGCAGAGGTACTCTTCAAAGGGTAGTGTTTCATGTAGAAGCAGATGCATAAAAGAGCCATGTGCACTTTATGAACAGACTGGAGCGAGGAGCCTGGGCAGAGAAGACCTTGCATAGTGAGGAGTAGCTATGCCACAACAGCAAGGAAAGGAGAAAGGAGGTGCTAAGGGCAAGAGTGTTCGAAACAAGAGACAAGCTTACAAATCCTAGAGAGATACATCCAAAGTAGAGGGAAAGAAAGCACAGGACACTGCCTCCTAGGACATCAGCAACCTCGGAACTCTCTATTAAGTATTTATGGTTTTTTTACCTGTGGGATTGGAGGTGTATGAGGGCCTAGTCTATGTGTGTGGAGAGGGTTTATGCTGGTGTCATTTTGTTCCTTTGGCATTACAACACACACACACACACACACACACACACACACACACATTCCACAATGGTTCAAATATTTGTAGCAAAATAGGAGCATTGGAGTGAGATATTCATCAGCCACCTCAAAGAGTCGTTACCTCTTCTAGCTTCCTGAAAAGAGCTAAGACTAGAATTTGGGACTCCAGTTAAGAGTGAGGTAAGAAATCCGGGCACCCTTCCATGAAAAGCATTCAAAAGGTAAATGTGCCATAGGAAACACCTCATTGTTTGCAGCTTTCTTCCCTCTGATGCAAAAGGTCTTTCAATGTCAGAGATGATTTGCTCAAATATTTCATTAAAAAGAACTGGAGTCTGAGCTACTAGTAGAGGAAAAGAAAACAATCTTAGTGACGGCTGAGTGTTTGACGATTATCCACACAGCCTTTTCGTTCCACTAACGGGACACTTCGACCAGAGGAGGGATGCTTTGTGCCACACAGCAGAGGAAATGACACAAGTTGCCTGGCTCCCAACCTAAACCCTCTGATACCGCAATGTCCTTAAGAAAGTTAGCTGCTCAGTGTGTGGGTGCACCCCTCGCGGTCCTGAGTTCCTTGCTCATGCTCTCTCTCCTTCTGCTCCAATGGGGATGTTCTATGGGGAACTCACCAAGGCCAGCTGGCCTGGGTCTGAAAAAGCCTGGGTTAAAACCAGTCTCTCTGAACATAGTGGACAAGGAGGACTACTGAGACCCCAAGAACAATGGCAATGGGTTTTTGATCCTACTGCACGTACTAGCTTTGTGGGAGCCTAGGCAGTTTGGATGCTCACCTTACTAGACCTGGATGGAGGTGGTTAGTCCTTGGACTTCCCACAGGGCAGGGAACCCTGATTGCTTTTTGGGCTGATGAGGGAGGGGGACTTGATTGGGGGAGGGGGAGGGAAATGGGAGGCGGCGGTGGGGAAGAGACAGAAATATTTAATAAATAAATATATAAATTAAAAAAAAGAAAGTTAGCTGCTTTAAGAAGCATGCTTGCCTCATGTTGCAGGGGTGAATGGGCACACAGTCAAATCAAAGAACTGTTAACGGCTGACACATAAGAGTGCTAATAGATTTTCTGGAGTCCAGTCAGCCCCGAGTTGACAGTATTTTCACAAAATGCCTGACCTATTGTGGTTTTGGTTTTGTACTTTTACTAAAGTACATATTTTATGCTTAATATAAGAGAATACAATCAATTTCCTGTTAACAAACTTTATCCTAAAAATGAAACAATATATATTTTATTCTTTGGGAAATCTAGAAAGAAAGAAAAGGAAGAACATACATATTCTCTTCCAGCCTGAAGAAAATCATGGTTGCTTTTTATCTTGAATAATTTTTGTTTGACTGTTTCATTTTTATAATTATTCTAATAACTTTTATTCGTCATTCTCCTCTCACACCTTCCTCGCCCATTGAAAATCTCCTTCTGAACTGGTCCAGATTCTAATGTCTTGCCCCCTTTTTGTGTCTGACCCACCGATTTAATCAGGGTTTCCTGCCTGAACTTAGGTGGGGGTTATTTCCTAGAGCAAAGGCAACGTGCCAGTGGTTATACCACTGAAAAAAAAAAATAACATTCCCATTTTGGTGTGTTTTCTTTTATGTATTTTGTAAATTTAAATCTATGCTCATCTATAAGCCAGTGCACTCCCAGTTTGGGATCTAACGTCTGTTGACTTAGCGCAAGAATATTTATACATGTAAATGACCTACCACTTCAGGTCGTTGTTTGCTGTTATTGTTTATAGTCGGTTGTGATGCACAGCATCTGTGCTACGTAACCACCTATTTTAACTCTCGTCTTGAACTTTCAAGTTTTTTTTTGTACACATATGTACTTTCAGAACTCTTATTGTTACTTTACAAAATTATTCCTAAGGTTGAAGGTATAAGCATTTTTAATGTTCTTGATAGCTGCTTCCCAATGTATATAATCTATTGTAATTCATATTTTCTTCCATCAGAGTACTCTGTTGTGTTGAAGATGAGTGGAGGAAGTCATTTTGATTTCAAATAGAAGTTTCTGTAGAATTTCAGCCCTGTGTGACCTCACAAATTGGTCAGAAAGTGCCTCTGATTATAATATTTTTTATACTACTGTAATTTATAAACTAAAATATTAAAAAAAAACTAAGTTTACTTAGGAGCCTTCCTAAGTATATTACTTTTTTAACAGACCATTTTGTGGGGAGATGAAATAATGTGACCAAAGTTCAGATGCAGATTCCAAGTTGTTACAGTAGCTTATTTCCAGTGTGTGTGTGTGTGTGTGTGTGTGTGTGTGTGTGTGTGTGTACACGTGTGACTGTCAGTCATTATTGGGCTCGGTGTTCCTGAGTTGAGTGCTTCTGCAATAACTTCAGACTGCTGAGCCCTTCCTTACTTAGGCAGTGTTTCTTCACTAAGGAGTCCTAAGCAGCTCTGTGGTGATCTTGAATATATTTCCTGGTCTTTTCTTCTCTCATTTCCTTTCTTGTCCACCTACAATATAAATGTAGTCTGGGAATTTTCCATTAACATCTACTTTGTGCTGCTCCACCCTTCTGGATAAAGCAGTGGATTGTATGGTCATCTTCTTTTTTTTTTTTTTTAGATTTTTTTTAAATTTATTAAAGATTTCTGTCTCTTCCCCACCTCCACCTCCCCTTTCCTCCCCCTCCCCCAATCTAGTCCCCCTCCCTCGTCAACCCAAAGAGCAATCAGGGTTTTCTGCCCTGTGGGAAGTCCAAGGACCACCCTCCTCCATCCAGGTCTCGTAAGGTGAGCATCCAAACTGCCTAGGCTTCCACAAAGCCAATACCTGCAGTAGGTTCAAAAACCCATTGCCATTGTTCTTGAGGTCTCAGTAGTCCTCATTGTCCGCTATGTTCAGTGAGACCGGTTTTAACCCAGGCTTTTTCAGACCCAGGCCAGCTGGCCTTGGTGAGTTTCCGATAGAACATCCCCATTGTCTCAGTGTATGGGTGCACCCCTCGCGGTCCTGAGTTCCTTGCTCGTGCTCGCTCTCCTTCTGCTCCTGATTTGGACCTTGAGATTTCAGTCCGGTGCTCCAATGTGGGTCTCTGTCTCTGTCTCCTTTCATCGCTTGATGAAGGTTAATATTAGGAGGATGCCTATATGTTTTTCTTTGGGTTCTCCTTCTTATTTAGCTTCTCTAAGAACCCGAATTATAGGCTCAATGTCCTTTATTTATGGCTAGAAACCAAATATGAGTGAGTACATCCCATTTTCCTCAATGAGACGACTTTCCACTGAGCATCTTCTCTGGACGAGGTTGTGTACCTGCAGTAGGAGCCAGATGGACACAGCTGCTACCTTGTGAGACCGGCCTGTTAGGGACTATGAGGAGCGGGGAGCTAGTGACAGTGCATTCAGTTGTCTTTGTGAAAATGTGATGATGAGGTCTGCAGGACTTCAGGGAGACAAATTCCCTAAAGATGGAGGAGAGACGTCCCAATGATTGTTAATGGTTTGGGGATGGAATGGTGGTGCTCCATGTCCAAAAGGATCGACTAGAGATGCTAAATGACTCTCTTAGTGTGTGTGACGTTGTCATAGTTATTTTGTAGGCTCACCAGTGTTTAATACTTCTCAAAGTTAAGATTCCAGATTGAGGAGGGAAAGTACCTTGCATTAAGGTCACATGCCCTTCTATTTAAATTGCTCAATGTACCTTGTTAATAAGATCCAACTTCTTGAACCATCTTTGTATAGAATAGACAAAATAACTTGGGCTCCAAATAGTTATGAGGCTTTCCCAGGTTTCTTTGATCAGTGGTTGGCAAAATTCAAATTCAAATCCAGTTTTGTCTAAGTCACACAGAAGTCCTGTTCTTGCTTCTGCACAAAGCTGAGTCTCAGAAGGTGACAGTACCTGTGAACAGGGCTTTGTTCTCGTGCCTCCCAGTGTAGGCTGAAGAGGTTTTATGGTGAGCCCAGGCTGCAAGGGAACATGAATTTGGGAACCTCCCTGTAGAGGATGAAGGCAACTATCCCAGAAACAGTTTTTCTCAGGTATTGTTACCATACCAGGATGCCCAGCTTGGGGGTTATTCTGTGTTTTCATGGAACAGGAGAAAGTTCTGCTCCTGTCTCCATCTTCCCCAGGAGGTAACCTCTTAGTGGACAGGAAAGGCTTTCTTGGATTCATGTTCTGACCTTTTCTATTATGTCTACTTCTCACCCATACCCTTGGCCTCCATCAGGGGAAAGTCCCTTCCTCTGAGTGCCCAGTCTGGTACTCAGAAACTCACCCACAGCACAGGGGTGCTGCCAACACAAGAATGTGTCTGCTGAGGACTTATTACACACTGACTGGTGGCGGGAAAGTCTGTGCATGGTGTTTTCAGAACTGTCTGCTGAGGAAGAGAAAAGACTTGAGAGGTCAAGTAAGGGTACAAGGTGACAG